GTACTTTTTCAGTACCTCCAGTTGACAAAATTCAAAAAATTTCAAAAATTCGAATTTCTCACTCAAATTGCGACAAGAATGACAAGAAAATGAAAAAAAATTCCGGACTTCCTTGCGGAATTTCCGCACTTTTTCATTACTACCGGACCGCCCTCAAAAAATCAGTACTATTTCCTACTTAAGAATCAACAGTCAAACCGCAAATTCCTCACACATGCAACATCTCCATTGATGAAAAGCTGATTTTTCGCACTCTCCGGCAGCAATGTCCGACAGCGAGGATGACCGACGGCCGAGGCGGGAATCGTCCATAAAACATCATAGGAACTTTTTAATTGGCTCCAAAAGGTAGCAATCATCCTCGGGTTTCCCTTCCGCGCGCTCGGCCCCCCGGACGTTGCCGTTGGCGCCATGTTCCGCTCAGTCGCGCCCTGGCCGTTGCGCCCTTACCGCGCCCCGTCCGGCACTCGCCCGCCCCCCACCCCCTCCTCCCGTCGTTTCGCGTTTCCGCCCCATCTTTCATCTTCCCTTCGTCGCTGTCACCGCTAGCCCGCCCGCGACAGTACCGCAATCCAGTGCTATCATTCCGTACCCGTCAAAAGTTCCGAGATACGGAACTTCTTTGTTCCGATTTCTCCCATTCCACCGCCGTCGAAAGTTCCGGGATTAAACTTTAAATTTTTTGAAAAGTTCCGGGGAATGCAAAAGATCCGGATTATTTTGGGAATTTCGAAAGTTCCGGGCTACGGAACTTCTTCGTTCCAATTTCTTCCATTCCATCGCCGTCAAAAGTGCCGGGATTAAATTTTAAAGTTCCGGAGAATCAGGGTGTCTACGAGTCCGGAATTTCCGGAAAGTCCGGAGGTTGTACTGATTTTTTAAGAGCGGTCCGGAAGTACTGAAAAAGTGCGGAAATTCTGTAAGATGGTCCGGAATTTTTTTCATTTGCTGTCACTTTCATCGCATTTTGAGCTAGAAATTCAAATTTTTGAAATTTATCGAATTTCGTTGATCGGAGGTACTGAAAAAGTACCGAATTTTTCTATTGAGGAGGCACTGAATTTCTCGGGAATGGACTAAAAAAGTACTGTGAAAGCACTGATTGTTGGTCAGTCGGTTATAGTAGACACCCCGAGAATGCAAAAGATCCGGAATATTTTGGGAATTTCGAAAGTTCCGGGAAAAATTCAGGAAAATCTCGAAAGTTCCGAAATTCGAAACCAGTTCCGGGAAATGGGAGCACTGCCACAATCCCGTTGCACGATTTAGATGACGTTTGCATCGACAGAATTTTAATTTCCATTGTTTGCTTCGGTACTTTGGATTTGTGGGGGAAAATAGTAAGAATTAATCAAAATAAGGTGAAATTGAAAGTATGGCAACGTCCGAATAAACTACAAAAAATGAAAATCAGAACTAATTCGCAAATAATTTGCGTATCATTTCCGCCCACTTCCCCTTCTCAACATTTTTTTCAATGATACTTCCGTCCGAAGTTTGTTTGGCAACAGCGGAGAGACTCGTGAGCTCTTTAATCACTGCCAGTGCTTTTCATCTGCGTGTTAGTTTTGGCATAATGGCAGGTTGTTTACATTCTTCCTTGTCAATTTTAAAGTGAAAATTCTCAAATTTCTTCCTTTGAAACACTTCATGAATGCCCGATTTTGACTTTTCAGTCCAATTTTTAAATTTCGCAAATCCAAGATGGCGGATGTGGTCTAAAATGCTATCTCGGCTCCCATTATATCGATTTTCGTTAAACTCGGTACCAGGGGGTATTTTTCGACGAGAAACTCGAATTTTCAGTCAATTTTCAAATTTCGCCTTTATCGGTCTCAGCACGTGTTACGCAAGGTTGCATATCCGTGGTGATTGGGACCGAAGCTACCGTGGATAATGTAAAATCGCGGATAATAGAAAATCGCGGATAATCCGAAATTACAGCTGTTGCCCAGGAAAAGTTATACAAAAGGTCGTATTTTTTTTTTTTTATTTTTAAAAAAAAAACTCTGTTTAAACGTGTGTCAAATATCAACCAGAAATGTAGTTTTCAGCCAAAAACATAAATAAATTTTACCGCAAAAGAAGTTATCTCGACAAACATCATTTGTTTTACCACCAATTTCAGTGTTTCAGTAGTATGTACTCGAGTGACTTTATCTTAAAGAAGCCACCGGAAAAATCGCGGATAGTTCGAATCGCGGGTAATCAAGCCCCTGGTGATTTTCTCTCGCGGAAACATATATTCCTCTATGGGTTTGTTTAGGGTGACTATGAAAATCCCCAGAAGAGGCCTAAAACTGGTGAGTGGATCGACAGAAAGCAGTGGCGTGGCGTGCTTTGCGATATATCGATTGATCTGCCCTTTAAAGCTATGGGAAAGGATCGATAAACAAGGTGTTCGCAACGAACACCTTGATAATCGATTCTTTACCACAGCTTCAAACGGGAAAATATCGATAATTGATCATTCGCGCCACGCCACTGACAGAAAGCATTACTGCCGTGCTAAGGAAGAACGCCGTATGAACATTCGAGAGTTGCCAAATTTCCTTTGATAAAATGTTCATTTTTTAAGAAAGTTTTGAATATTTTTCCTTTAAATTTTTAGAATCTTTAGGTAAAATTGTAAACTAAATTATCTGAAAAATTGGAAGGAAAATATTCATGAATTTACCAGGAAATTCGCGTTTTATGAGAGCAAATTTGGCAGCGCCTAAAGGCTCATGCTCATACGGCGTTTTTCCTTAGCACGGCAGATTACAGGTGTAGCGAAACTACCTGAAGTACTTTAGGCGCCTCGGAAGTCGGAAGGCACATGAAGGCCCCTGGCATCTTAACTTCAGTAAAGAAACGTTTTAACAGCGGTGGCATATTTGAGCCATAAACTATTTATACACCTCCATATGTGGTTAGCATCAATCATCATATTTTTCAACGGGCGACCTCTCCGGTAATAGTATCCTCGTTTGATATGGTATTCAGTTCAAAGCGGGAAATGGAAAAGTACAAAGTGTGGCAAAAATTCAAGAAAAAGAGATTCCACCCCAAAATTGGAGCAATGGAGGTAAGGTATTACAGGGTGACTCCGTGTTGTTTGTTTTGAGTATTTGAGGGTTTTCCAAGTTCGTTCTTTCGCTTTTCCTAAGTTTGTTATCTCACCGCCAATGAGAGAACCGCAGTTTCTGTTGCAATGGAGATGTTGCATGTGTAAGGGATTTGCGATTTGACCATTGATTCTTAAGTAAAAGTTCGCGAGAATCACGATGGTGCCACTTGTTTTCTCTGAAATCATCTCCCAAGCTCAAAAAAAGCACTCAAAGTGAGGCCAAAATGGAGGGGATATCCCATTCTACCCTGAGAGTCCACCTCTACATCAAAACAATCTCTCCATGCAAAGATAGGGAGCAAATACATTAGCAAGGTTGCCGTGTTTTCAGTTTTGGAGTCCCCAAATAAAGTGGCAGCCCTGTCAATGTATTTGCTCCCTATCTTTGCATGGAGAGATTGTTTTGATGTAGAGGTGGACTCTTGGGGTAGGGTGGGATATCCCCTCCATTTTGGCTTCACTTTGAGAGCTTTTTTTGAGCTTGGGAGATGATTTCAGAGAAAACCAGTGGCACCATCGTGTTTCTCGCGAATTTTTACGTAAAAATGAATGGTCAAATCTCAAATCCCTCACACATGCAACATCTCCATTCAAGAAACAAAGCTTATTTTAAGAATTCAATAGACCACTAGACAAGGTACGAATTTAAGCATTCTAATGCATGTCTCTGCTTAAAGAGTCCGCTTAGAACATGATACGCCCTACAAAAATTACTCGTGTCAACTTCTGACTGAGATATTAACTTCTTTAGTTTACATTGATTTCAGGAAATTTGAATTCCCCTCTCCAAAGAAAAACAGGAGTCTTCTTGAATCAAATCGCGCATTACGGCAGTTTTGGCGGACTTTTTAAACCAGCAACATTCCTCCCTTGCCTTGTGTTGTTCATAGTGTTAACAACGTACAACAGCTGAGCCGAAGCAACGCAATTGAGGTTACCACATTTTATATCGCGGAGACTGTCACAGTAAAGTTCAGAGCGTATTTGGACTCACCTCGACTTTGGTTTTTTCATGAGCGGGAAGTTTAAATTCACGCATCGAAAAACGTTACCTATCTGGCTCAGTTCGTTTCGTTGCACAACTCGTGTTGTACGTGACATTGTGACAAGATAATCAGTATCCGAATGGGTCAATTAGCATCTTGCCTAGCGGTCTGTTGACTGTTTCTTATAAAACTCCCGAAAGCTTTGTCTCCACGGGACGTTTTCATGGGATTTGTCCCAAGTTTGAATCACAGGAATGAAACTTCTGGGATTTTTCCCAGTTACCGTCTCTACGTGATGGGGCTCAAATGGTCCTGCAACAAGTTAGCGCGAAAGGATAAGTCAGTAAAAATCGAGTGTTTAACCGGGATTAAAGTAATAATTGAACACGGTTGACAATTAGACACATCATTTTAACTAAACAAACACGAACAGTGAAGTAACCAACAAAATATCGTGTAGTTCGCTTTCACTTCTTCTTCCCCTCTCGGTTGGTCTCAGGGGCGCAAGAACCATACTTGGTGCTGGGAAAAATATTGATTAACTCAATATTTGTCCCGATTCGTAATTGGGATTTTTCCCTGGGACAAATCCCGTGAAACGGCTCGCGGATACAAGGCCTAAGGAAATCCTCCCTGTTTTTAGCTGCTGATTTTCGGTTTTTGAAAATGGAATGGCAAAAAGTTGGGACAATTTATTTTTCAGGTGTTCAGTAATAGAACGATATTGAAAGCAGTTTAAAGATAATTCTTACCGAATTATTCTCAGGAAAGCAAAGAATTTTAATTTACGAATAGTAAGTAGGTAGTGTAAGTTCAAGTCACAAATGCTGCGGAATCCTTGCCTCAATTTTAGTCCATTAGCACTGATTTTTTAATTTTCTTTTCGTCTTTTCATTTTGTTTCAGCTCGAGTTCAATAATGCCAAATCGTTGCCAACAATACATGACTTTGACAAAAAATTAGCCGAAGCAGATGCATATCTACAAATTTTAATAGATCAAACAAAGGTATGTTTTGTTTATTTTACTCTTTGAAAATTTTTTTACATACTACAGAACCATATTCATACCAAAAACTCGAACGATGTCATCAAGTTTCAAAATTCAAATGTCCTCACCTTTCAAATATTTTTTTTGATGCAATGAAGCATCAGACAGGGTCTGAGGTATAAATTAATGTCTAACGGATTTTCTTCAAAATCTTCTGTAGAAAATGATTCATACAACGAGAATCTTGGAAATCAACCCCAGAACGTGATATTAACAAGTATTTTTAACACAGATCAAATGGATTGCATTTTGCAAAAAGGAACCACTAGCATTTCAATGATGCTTCAATGATGATTGTGCAACTTCATCCTTTGCAATAAAATTGCGGAAATCGTAAAAAACTATGAAATTTAGATGGTAATTTTTGTCTTAAATTCACAGTTTTTAGCGAGCAAAATAGAGACTATTAATGGATAATCGGGGTTTTCCTCCAAGACAAAAGAAGTTGCACAATCTTAGCAACATTGCAATACTAGTGGTTCCTTTTTGCAAAATGCAATCCAAATGGAAGTTAGATTACACAAATGACGTCATTTTCATTTTTGCCCCTCGACCAATGCTAATCATTGTAAAGACTTACATCTTGTTTAAAGGTTGACTGTCAGACTTCCTGTTGTGTGTTTTATTTTTGTCGTAAAATTTTGAAGAGTCTTGGGTAGTGTTTTAATTCAAACCTTGCTTAGATTGATTAGATTGTTTTTTTTTTTTTTTTTTTTTTTTTTTTTTTTTTTTTTTTTTTTTTTTTTTTTTTTTTTNTTTTTTTTTTTTTTTTTTTGTACGGGAGGGGGGGTGTTGTAGTTTTACAAAGCCATAAATGCTCCACAAAAATTCGCTAGACAATGCATATGAATGGCGAAAGTCAAAAGATGCATGTCTCCAATGCGGCCCTGAACAATCTCCGAGTATGCTATATTTTGTTAATATATAAAAAGTAACTAACCAAAGTATCTCCCAGAAATTTTGTCGAATGAGGGAAGGAAATTCACAGAAATTTTTTTTTTTTTTTTTTGTAAAAAAAAAAAAAAAACTATCGGTTAGTCTTCTTTTAAAAAAATAAAACATGAGTAAAGATTAGCAACATACCAATTAGAGACACGTTTTTATAGACTTCAGTCATTTTTTTTTCAATTATTCTCAAAATCTGCTTGAATTTCTTCACTAACTTCTTTATTGTATCTCTTAATTGCACTTCTTAAAATGAAATTATTTATTACTTTTTCAATACTCCTAACGTTGCTCGTACTTTAATTATTTGCTATCGATCGGATGATTTCAGAATTTAGAAGCTAGAATGAATCAAGTGACTGATCCTAGTGATAAATCAAGATGTCAAGCGATATGGAATCATGTAAATGTAATGTTAGAGCAAGTTAAACACACAATAATTCTTCTACAAATTGCCAAGGTAAGTTTGTCCCATTTTTTTATTTCAACCCTCTCCAGTATAAATAGCAAATTTTCTGAGCTCTCAAAAATGTCCAAAATTGTGTAGTTTCCTTCCAACAGCAGGGCCGGATTTACCTACTTGCCGCCCATAGGCCGCCTGTATTTTGCCGCCCCCTTCTCATTCCTTTTGAAACATCAATAAAAGCATCAAGTGAACGTGCCGGAGGAGGAGGGGTGCATAAGACGCGCTTACCTATTCGTGTTGAGTACATTTTTTGCGAAAGCCCTGTCAACACTACTAGCAAAAGGTTACGGAACTTTGCGCGAAAGTTAAGTTCCGTAAACATATCTCTGTGTGAACAAGGTCCTCCATTCATAAGAAATGAACCAAAAAATTGAAAGAACAAACATAAATGTGGTTTAAAAATTTTAACTTCCGCCGCCGCGCCGCGCCGGGCTGATCGCACCACTGTGTTTGGCGCAATGCGTGAAGTATTCCTGCAGTCTTGTAGGCGCTACGCGTTTCACGGCAACCGCTCCTGACCGTACTGTGTTTGACGCAATGGAGGAAGTATTCATGCAGTCTTGTAGGCGCTAATATGTGTTACATGTCGACCGCCGTGCCGAAGGCTTGTCCTTTTCATCTCAAGTCCTCGTCATCAATCCTCTCTGCGCTGAGCTACAGGCCAAGTTGCGTGTTTAGTTCCTCTCTTAACTCGACTAATTAAAGATGCTCTCTTTTATCACCGAAAAACGATAAAATTAGCAATTAATATACTCTCAGGAAAGAGAGATTTTGTCCCCTTTTCTCATTGATAATTTTTTTTTTTTCTGGGTCCGATTTTTTTTATACCTACATTGAAAAAAATTTCAAAATTTGCCGCCCCCTAAATTTGCCGCCGTGAGCCGCGGCCCATGTGGCCACCCCCTTAGTCCGGCCCTGTCCAACAGTAGCAATTCGATGAGGTTTTAATTTTTGATTTTCATGAAACGAATGATTAGGCAAAAGAATTGGCGCTGATGGTCAGTATTTTCACGAAGTATTCTCTAAAACACCGTTTCTTCCTAATAGCTGTCATTTCAATTTTTTGAAAAATATCCCTCAGGATTTCTGTATTGGTCACACTATTCAGGGTTGCCATAGTTTAGGGAATACCGGGAAAAGTCAGGAAATTTTAAATCGTCAGGGAAAACCTGAAAATGTCAGGGAAAATCGTCAAATCACCTGCATTGCTTTTTCGAGTGGGTTTGACGTTTCGAAAAACCAATTTTGCCAGCAAACTATTTCTGACCACACATGTCTTTTTAAAAATCTGGCATTTGTCCAAATTTCAGGGAATTTTACCAAGATGTGTCAGGGAAATGTCAGGGAATTTCACTTTCCAAATTCTGTGGCAAGCCTAAGTAAAGAAACCCGGAATTAAAAAACTCAAAGTGACAAAAAATGAAATTAAACCACAGACGCATTTCGGGATTCCAACTGCGACCATTATATTTCCAAAATTGTGCAACTTCTTATTTTCTTTTAAAAATACTTAGTATATGTATCGAAAGGCAAACCTGAATTCAATTTTGTGCCGTGCAGAGGGAGCTCTGAAGCTTTACCTTGATAGCTGAGGTTCCGTTCATAAAAGTTTATGTAAGGCTGAATCTGCAAGGAAAACTCAATCATTAATCTATTATAGCTCAGCAGTTTTCATCAAACAGAATTAACACAGCTGTAATAGGTTCGTTGAACCATTTGAAGAATAAAGTTGGGCCAACGTCTATCTAAGCAGCCTGCTATCACATTTTCCAACCCTTACCTCCTCTTTGTAACTCAATAAAATCAAACTCCAAATCACCTCAAAAATACATGACGCTGGACTATCTCCATTGGTTTTTCAACTAAGAGCCTTGAAATCCTCATGACTGTTAGGACTGTTGCACAGTGGTAGCCTCATCTGTTCTCACTTGTAGCTATGAGATGTTGATCTACCATTCCGTGCAAAGTGTCACAATGTCGATGGACAGCTCCATAATGGTTTGTGCCATTGTGAAAATTGGTTAAAAAGTGCTAAATTTTGAACTATTTTTGGCCTTGAATATGCTTGATCTTTCTGAAGATACTTGAAAAATGTATGCATTTTTCTCTCTACTGATTGCCAGCGATAGATGCTCGCTGCTTTAAGAAATGAGAAAGCATTTGACAATTAATAGTTCATTTTGGAAGACATTCTGCTCCCGACAGAAATTATGAGCTACATATCTTTAAAGTGAACTAGACAAGTCCATAAAACATCATGCGCTTTTCACGACCTTTTTTGTGATTTTTCAAACGCACAATTTTCCCCCTGTATCATGAGCCCAAGTCTCACAAACCATGATCTCCCCTTACTATTCGGTTTCTGTGAATGATTTTCCAAACACTGAAAATACTGTCACAAGTATCTTTAAGTTTCAATAAATTATTCTTTTATTGTTTCAGAACACTGCGCATCCTGTAAATGGGGTGTATCAACCAGTTATGAACACAACAAGTATTAGTGGAGGCCTTGATAAAATTGATAATAATATTAGTAAGTATGCCAAACTCATTGGAAAAACTAGGAATTTCAAGTACTAGGGGGCTGCGCCCCCTGGCCGCTCCGCGGTCCATCCCCCTAGAGGCGCTTCACTTCGCGCCTCTATCGTGCAGATATCCTGAGATCGTTAAAAGATCATTTAAGAGTTATTAAGGAAAACCCGGTTTGGAGATGGCAGGCAGCATGTGACCGTGCGCGGCGGGAGGGGAGCGGGGAGAGGAGGAGAAACCGGTTTGTGGCATGATTAGCGTTACACCCTCAGCGTTACATCCTCAGCGTGAAACCCTTAGCGTGACACGGCACCCTCATGATTATACTATAGAGTGAGATATGAAACCAAAACAGCTTGTGTAACCATCTAAGTTATCGGGTCTCATAATATAAGTTCACCAAGTGTGAAGTATGTTGTAGTGTGAAGTCACTTTCAGTGAACGAAGTGAGTTTTTATGCTCTAAGTTTAGAAGTCCTGTCATTCCCAAAGCTATATTACGTCCTGAAGTAGACCAGGTTGAGAACAAGGTGAATTAAACAACCTGTTTTCTCCCTCAGCTACTTACAATTTCAGGAGCTTTTTGAATCGTGAAGTAACATTAGCACTGCAAAGCATTCTCTAATAACAAGCCTATACATTCATACCAACTTAGTACTTAAAGCAAAGCGCTTAACAAGTAGGGCACCCATTGTCAATATGTGTGTATAGAGTCTATACCATAGACTCTATTATCATCCTATCTTCTTGGCCAGCAAGAAAACAAAAAGCTCTTTATGATCACCAATCAGATTTTGCAAAATTGCTACCAGACACTTCGCATAAAAATTCTGAAAAATGCAATTTTCTGCATTGCTTTCCTCCAACTTGGCACATCAAAAGTTCAATCTATGAAGCTCATTTTGCCCAGCAGGTCATGTAAGATATGATCTTATCAAATAATCATGGAAAAACGGCGCTGAATCCCTTAGTTTTCCTTTGTCATAAGGTGATTCGATGGTTGCCATTTTTTGTGTCAGAGCGACGTGCGATATATCGCATCAATTCGTTCCATAATTTCAGCTACTTGCCATTTTTTTTTAATTTTGAGATCGCACTCCTGTTCTCATGAGACGAAAGATTTATGTACCAAATTTGACAATGAAATTCAACGTAATAAAGGCAGGGTTTTTTCAGAGGAAAAAAAATCGCATTTGAGTGCAGTTTCGATATCAGTATCGAATGCAATATTTTTCCTCTAAAAAAACTCTGCCTTTATTACCTTGAATTTCATTGTCAAATTTGGTACATTTTGTCTCATGAGAACAGAAGCGCGATCTCAAAATTAAAGAAAAATGGTAAGTAGCTGAAATTATGGAACGAATTGATGCGATATACCGCACGTCGCTCTGACACAAAAAATGGCAACCATCGAATCACCTTAAGCAAATAAGCTGTAACTTTCATAGTTTTTGATGCTTTAACGATACAGGTCTTACAAAAATTAAGGATTTTTAATTTTACGAACTTTTCTTCTTAAAATTGTAAAAAACGTTTTGCAAGTGCTGTTGACTTTGTTTAAAATCAACTCCTGAGTTAACCAAAAGATTTGGAGGTTGACTGGATGAAGAAGCTTACCAGTCTTACCAGAAGTATTTCTTGTTTCTAAATTCAGTCAACTTCTTTATGCTGATATGAGGTCAAATACATGTATCAAGATTTTTCTTTGTTTGAGGACCTTGAGGGTCAGACAGGTATCTTTTTGCTCGTCAAAACAATCCAACTTGTGTATTCAGCCTTATCTCTGCTTCAAGAACATGACTGAATACCAAGGTGAACTCAATTTTACTCACAAAACGCTCCACCATTATGGTTTCAATTTTGAAGATTTTTTATGAGCCTGGAAGTAAGAGTGTCCCATCCGTTTTTGATAATATATCGAAACAGTTTGGTTAAAAGGTAGCATAATGTGATAAGGGACCTTTTTACCCGTAGCTATTGGAGTTTTTCCCGTTAACAAAGATTGGCTGTTGCAATTAGTCCGAAGGGAAAAGCAACCCAGAAGACAGACATGCACAACAATGTTTTTCTGCAGATTCAGAGCTCTTACAGTTCTGATTACTAACAACAATTTTAGAAGAGCGTCCTTATCAAAGTGTATCAGTACTTCAGAACAAGCAGGATGCACCAATAGCTTACTCATAAGGATTCCTTTGAACGCCCCTACTTGCAAGTTGATTTATGAAACAAACTTATGGCATGATTTTGTGTCCAGTGAAATCTTATAGAGAGGAAATGAGATTTAATCGCTGTTTTTTGACTTGTACCGGAAGTCCACTGTCTTGTGTGATCTTCATCTGCCTACTTTCATTGGTTTTTCTTGGACCGAAGATGTCTTTACTCCACAGAAAATCTGTAACCTTCCTTCCTTTTCCTTTTGTAACCAAGTATTGTGGGGAGAAAATAAATTGCAGTACTAAATCTAACATCGCACTATATTTTCTTTTGCAGGTACATTAAATAATTCTCAGTCTAGTCATATTCATTCTTCCAATCTTGATTCTGCTGATGAATGCACAGAGGCAGAACGATCTTACTGTAGGGCACACTCAATATCATATCCAGTCCATAGGTATCCTTATGGTGAGTATTAGAAATATTCGCTAATATGCTCTACTTTTGAGAGTGCGGAGATAATTCTATTATTCTGCAGGATGTTTTGTGTTTAATTTACTAACGGTCAGGGATTTAGTTGTCAGGCACAATTGTATCGCATTTAGCAAAAATGATCTAGCAGGATCGCAGTACAAAACCGGAAGTAATGGAAAAACGAAACAAACGAAACCCGAGGTAACTAATTGTGGGCTAACAAATGAAATAAAGAAAACCTGAATTAAAAAACTCAAACTCACAAAAAGTGAAATTAAACCACCGATGCGTTTTGAGGCCCCGGCCCCTTTGCCGGCAAGGTTGAATTTCGACTGCGATTACAGTGTTCTCATAATTGTGTAACTTCTTTTTTTCTTTTAAAAATACCTAATATATGCACAGTATTAAAATTTACACAATTATTATCATTTAAAATTAACAAGTTTATGGTGGGAAGCAAAAACTATTTGCTATTTTGGGACATTTTTTAGATAAATATGAAGAAGTAACATTTTTACAATACTATAATCGTGCTGGTTCCTTTTTGGTAAATGCGATCTAATTATTGCAAAACTCCTGCCAGACAAGTTGGCAAATGTTTACTATCGACTGTCATGGATAGGAGATGGTTTCATATATCTGAGCGTGACAGCATTGTTGGTCCTTTTAATAATCTTCAATTGCTATTGGGTGGCAGCAGGGCAGCTGCTGGCAAATGTAAACTATTCCTATCTATTCTTATGAAAGTTCTAACTTTCCTTCCTATGAATGTGCGCTGAAAACATATTCAGCTTTTTTTTCATTTGCTTCAAGAGAAATGCAAGATGAGGTAACCTGAATGAACAATCGAACTCGCAAACTGCTATCAATATTTCTCGTGAATGATTCAAATCATTTTCAAGCATTTATTTTTGCCATTGCTCTGAACAAAGAGAAAAAAAAATCATTTTAATCAAATGAAATCATACCTAAAAAAAGATCGTAACAGTTGTGAGATTGTTTGCTTAAACGGTTCAGATTCACTTTATTTCAATACATTAGCCTCTGTTCAGGTTTGGTACAGGTCAATAACAATAATGGGTCAGTTGCGTTGGTCACAGAATCGTGTTTTGATGTTTTATTCTTGCAGATCAACCAGAAATAATAAGGTCTGTCCAAATAGCAACTTTCTACGTTCAATATTAACCATGACATCATGCCTTGAAAAACTCAATTTATCACGTCATCCACTGCGGTAGTACTCAGCATGTAATGCACTACCATGGTGGATGACGTCAAAAACCTGACTTTTCAAAGGGCGATATCTCAGTTAATATTGAACATAGAAAGTTGTTGTTTAGACAGATCTTATTATTTTTAGCCAATCTACACAAATGAAGCATCAAAACACGATTCTGTTACTAGCGTAACTGGCCAATCTATATAATATAATAACAATGATATACAACTGAAGACGATAAAGATATACAAATTTGTTAGTTTTAACAATTTAGTTATATAATTCTTGGGGTAATGGGTTCATCCATAAATTCTTTTTAAGAATATCGAGAGCAGTCTAGTACGGCCTTTTTCAGAATTTTATGAAATTTTCTGGAGCCTTTATTTTTCAAGACATGTTGAAGAGACCCAGGAAGATTGTTCAGCAGGTTCAGGGATATAGAGTTTCGTTTTCTACCACTACAACTTCCCTATCTCTGTAGGCAAGCCTAATTGAATCGGCGTATGCGAAAACGTCCGATGTCCAATACAGTGTTTCAGAATTGGAGTGAACGATTTCTTTGTAACTTAAAGACGCCAGATGGTTTTAAGATGTTAGGAATGTAAAACAATTGTATAAATAATCCCGTAAGGATAAATAAACGTTTACAAAAGAGATCGATCTTATTCATCAGTGTCGCGGGCTAAAAAAACCACTGCAATTATGAAACCCTGTATTGGACTAGGGACATTTTCGCATGAGTTGATTCAATTGCGAGCAACTGAGAATGCTTGTGGACGCACGGACACACAGACTTGAGAAGTTGTGCGTTTTGGAGTGTATTTTAAACTTTCCTGATATGCTCACTTTGAGTTTTGTGCACTTACCTGTGGAACATCCATTCAGTTGGCTGTGCCTTTTGTGTGCAGTAGACTCATTAAAAAGAACTCAATAAGTGCTGGTGAATTGTAATTTTAAAAACCTGTCTTGACACAGATTTTTTTAATTAATTAAAATTTTTCAGTTTACAAATGGAAAATCTTAAATTTTGGATGCACCTTGTATCAATTTTCTCTTTTATTCATCCTGTCGAAAGTCACTTTTGGTACATCTCTATGTCCGTTGCAAACTGCTCGAAAAATAAAGTTGCTGAATTAAAATCCGGGATTTTAGAAACAATTCTGGAACGTTAGTTAACGTGAATACTTCGGCTAGTAAAACAACATCCAAGTGATGTTAAATTAATAACTGAAGCGTTCATATCAACATTTCAGAGTTGTCGCTTAGGTTTTTAACATCCCAGATGATAATTCTGCACTTTTTTTGCCTTTGTGCATTTTTCCAAGTATCCTTCAGCTTGTTGTATACATATAAATTAGCAGTACATGTTTGGCCAAAGAAGTAATCAGTTTTGAACGCTACTGCTCACTGTATTAGGTCATATCCGTGACAATAGGGGTTGTTGAGTTTTTAAGTTCTGAGAAAACTACGTTTTATGCTTTAAAAGTAGTGCACTTTGATGTCCTTAAGACAGAGAGGTTTTGGTTTAAAGGTTTATTATAAAAAAAAAATTTCTTTTAAAGATGATTTTTAGAAATTCTAATTTGAAGCATTAGTGAATGAACCATAGTGGATTTAAAACAGGCAAAATTCGCTTTTCTTACAGGGAACTTTTATTGTATGCACATAGAACCAAGTCTTGAGGTAAAGAATGGGAATGAAACCTTTAAAATGAACTGAACTATAATTTTGGATGATTTCTTTTCTAGTGGCTATAGTTGCTCTTTAAAAATGTTATACAAAAATTCTAAGAAGTTTCCCTCAAAAGATAGGGATGTAATTCTATCAAGCTGTTCCTCATTCCTTGTTTTCCCTGAATCTCTGTTTTGTTGGATTAGTTTGTTGGTTCAGTTGAATTTATTTTTAATATTTGTTTTTATATTTTTCTCACAATACTCTTTTCTTTTTCTGTATTACCAGTGTACTTGATGAGTTTTCATGAAAATGAAATTTTTTAATTGTCTTTTCATAAGAAGCTCATGTTCAATTTTTTTAAAGTTGAAACATTGCGCAAAGAGCAACACATTTTTGAACACCAAAATTAATAGAAGTATGTAAAATTTGCTGTAGTTTAACCATTGTTATATCTTCGATCTATACAGGTGTGTAGGTACCTCTTGCCTTCTCATTTCAAAAGTTTTAGAGAAAAACTTAACCCTCGTTAATGAACCTCCTTTATGTTTTCATTTTCAGATGATAGTATAGGAGGAGGAATTCCACCTTCACTGGTTGTACCAGAAACCTCTTACTCTAGCTCAGAAGATGATGACTTTTTCGATGCCAGGGATGAAGTTAGCTCGCCTTCCGACGATAAACTTTCCACTAATTCTAAAATTTCGTCCAACATTCCAGGGTAAGTGGGTCTAAAGAAACTTTTCCTCGAGGAGCCTTCCATAATATACATCATGCTAAAAATCAGGTCTTGGGCCTTCTCTCTCTCCTCATCTATAGAGTGCACAGAGTCGTAATGTCAATGGGAGAGCTGGCGCCACTTTTAAGCATTTTCCAGGTCCCGAATTCCGAGACTGCTGTGTGACGCCAGGTCTTTTTTTCGATACATGATCGATTTTTTTGCGATACAGGGGGACCTGGCCATTTGATGTAAACAAAGAAGATAGGAATCACGTATTCCACACCGTCATTTTGGATCGAACATACATGGAAAAAGTGACCCGAGCTCGGCGCACACTGGGCTCGGAACTCGTTGAGCAGAACATGGCGCCAGCACTCTAGCCACTCTATGCCCTTATCTTGCACTTTTTGCTCGAGCCCAGACTCCAACCTGTCTCTCAGAGTGTGATGTAATTTATGGGTGTCTCTTAAGTGTTAGGCAATTTTTATGTTTGTTGCTTTGTACAGCGCTTCACAAACTAACCACTGCTTGATTTTCGCCTTTTTTTCTTGCCTTAACTTACATTCTTCCCTCTATCCTTCCTTTGAGTCGCTGAGATTCAGGTGTCAGCATGGCTTAAGTAGTTAGTTACTGAGAAAAGAATCATAAAGGGTACTCTCCCATTTTTGAAAAGGGGACCTTTCTGAGAATGGTGTTCTAAAATTTCCACAGTGACTGTACTGGTTCAGGAAACTATGATTTCTGCGTCGTGGAAAAATTAGAAAATCCTACCTTCAAAGCCTCGTAAATAGAGCCCTTTCATGTGTGGGGGATTTGCAATTTGAATACTTTTCCCATCGTAAAATATCTCAAGGAACACAGTGCTGTCACTGGTTTTCTCTGACATCAACTCCAAGGCTCCAAAAAAGCTCTCTAAGTTGAGGCCATAATGGTCGGGATATCTCACGCTATCCTGAGAGTCCACTTCTTTATTAAGCCTAACTCCTTATGCAAAGATGGGAGCAAATACTTCAGCAGGGTTGCTGTGTTTTTAGTTTTGGAGTCCGCAAACTAAGAGGCAACCCTGCTAATGTATTTGCTCCTTATCTGTGCATGGAGAGTTTTACTTGGATCGCATTTTGGAAGAAGGGACCAGGGGCACTCCAATGTCACTAAGATTGTGCAACTTTTTTCACCTTGCATATACTAACAGATCATCTAAACAAATTTTATCTTCACACCCAATGAATTATGAACAATAGGAATGAACTCAAGACAATAATCAACTTTGTAAAAACTGTTTTCATGATTTCAGTAATTTTATTCAAAGAATGCAAGTTGCACAAATGCACAACCCTAGCAACATCGCAATGGTCTTGCTTCCTTTTTGCAAAATGCAATCCTTTTAATACAGAGGTGGTCAGAATAGCGTGGGATATCCTCTCCACTACGGCCCTAACTTTGGGAGCTTTTTGTGAGTTTTGGAGTTCATTTCAAAGAAAATCAGTGGCACCATCGTGTTTCTCGCGAAATGGAGAAGTTGCATGTGTGAGGAATTTGCGATTTGACTGTTGATTCTTGGGTAAAAGTTCGCGAGAAACACGATGGTGCCACTGGTTTTCTCTGAAATCAACTTCCAAGCTCAAAAAAGCTCTCAAGTTGAGGCCAAAATGGAGGGGATATCCCACGCTATCCTGAGAGTCCACCCCTACATCAAGACAAACTCTCCGTGCAGATAGGGAGCAAATACATTGACAGGGCTGCCACTTTATTTGGGGACTCTAAAACTGAAAACACGGCAACCCTGCTAATGTATTTGCTCCCTATCTTTGCATGGAGAGTTTGTCTTGATGTAGAGATGGACCCTCAGAATAGCGTGGGATATCCCCTCCATTTTTGCCTCAACCTGAGAGCTTTTTTGAGCTTGGGAGTTGATTTCAGAGAGAACCAGTGGCACCATCGTGTTTCTCGCGAACTTTTACACAAGAGTCAACAGTCAAATCGCAAATTCCTCACACATGCAACATCTCCATTTTACAGAGGTACCACAGCTTAAATCGCAAAGTCCTGACACATGCAAGAGCTCCATTTCTTTCCTTGCCCCACCCATTTTTCCACCTCTCTCTCCGCAGAGCAATGCACCTGTACAAAGGGTATTTTCCTTTCGGCGGATCCGTGACCCATTTACCGGCGCAACCCATTTTAGCGTGTAAATAAAGCTGTCTACGGAGTCAGCCCGCGTCGGGAGGGGGGGGGGGGGGGGGNGGGGGGGGGGGGGGGGGGGGGGTGTCATCGGCCGCAGCGAAATCCCGGGACAAGTGTCAGAGTAACGTGGCACGTCTGACTCGGGGAAAATATTGGTTTAATGGTCGTGTTTATCTTTTTTTTCCCCCGTTGTTCAACCTCGTTGCAGCCGTTCCAATTCGTGTCGTAGGTAAAGATTGCGCGTGAGCCAGACGCAGGCGCCATGATGCCCCGGTCCCCCCTCCCCGTGTCGCTGCCGCCTTGCCAACTTGTGCACCGTATAATCGAGTTTCTGAACCGCGACGAGCGAGATTTTCTTTCCGCCTGCGGTTGTCGGACAAGATCATGGTGTCTAGTCTTTTAAAAACCGGGAAAAACCGGGATCCATCAGGGAATGAAATTTTACCGGGAAAATCAGGGAATCTTTTCCAGAAACCGGGAAAAACCGGGATGCATCAGGGAATGAAAATTTACCGGGAAAATCAGGGAATCAGTTCCAGAAACCGGGAATCTCTTCTCGACCCACCCAGGGATAATTTCGTTTTAAAATTTGGCGGTCTAATCCGACGTGCGCCAAAGAAATGGCTGTAAGCTCAATTAAAATCGATATGCACGTTTAAAACTCTAGAAAATGTAATTCTTCTCCCCAAGAAAATCCCGGGAAAGTGGGAGAAAACTTCGGTTTCTCATCAGGGAATGAGCTCATTATAATCAGGGACAGAGCAGGGGATGAGCTTTGCCAAGAAAACTGGACACCATGGACAAGATGGTCTCGGAATTTCTAATGGAAGACCCAACTTCACAAGAGAAAATTCGGAATAGATTATGTAGGAACCAGTGGATTGCACGTTTCTTACACTGTTTTGCTCGTCTGCCACGAAACAAGTGGCTGCTTGGATGTGTTTCCTTCAGAGAAAACCACCCTTGAAGCAACGACTGCATGAAAACTGTTAAAAATACTGTAAATTTTAGCAAAACCTCAAAGAAACCATATCTAGGAAACTCTTCTTTGGGTATTTCTTTTTAAATAAAACTAAGTACTAGAGGTAAAACTTGAGTGAAAAAGTGTTATGAAACTTCTCAAAATATCAATGTAGTTTTCTAACTTTTAAAATGTTTGAAATTGTTCTTTACCCTCCCCCCCCCCCCCAAAAAAAAAACCCACTCTCAGAGTGCTCATTTTTTTTCAAAGAATCTTTGATGTAAGCCAAGTTCACAAAGAGATAAATTTTACTTGAATAAAATACCTAGAAAGAGTTTCCTAAATTAAGAATTTTAACAGTTCTTTCAAGAGTGTTTGAATTTTGCTTTTTGAAAGTCCTTACTCCTGTAACAACCAAAATTATCCGTTATCTTCGAAAATTTATTGTGAATTTTCCTCGCTCATTCAAAAACATACCCACATAGAAAATTTCTAAAGGAATTTTTCGGTAGTTTTCTCCCTAAAAACTGTAACATTATCGAAGCTTTTTAATTATGTATTTCAGTGAATAAACGAATTTTTCGCCCTGACTGTCGATTTCTTCCAAATGATCGTGTAACTTGAAACGCGCGCGTTTTGCTGTCGGAATATTATTTTTTTTGCGATGCAACTTGGCAACCGCGTTATCAGCTGTAGTTGCGGTTCCTGGCGCTAGCTCGCTGTGCGTCTTATCTGCACTTTGCCAATCATTTGTTTTGATTTTCACGTTCAATGTCAACAATCAGTGCGTAACGTAATACCAAGATCCTTAGCTCCGAGGCGAATTCGCGAATCTTTAATTTTCACAAAGCAGAGTTCGATCGCGTAACTTTGTCGTTCGGTTATCGATCTGTTCTGTAGTTAACCTTAAAATCAATCGTTGTTCGTTCTTGGCATTCGTAGCCGAGACGCGCTGGGCGAATGAAAACCTGTTCTCCGCCCTCGTCAGAGTCTATTACACAACTTTTCTGGTTTTCTCTGTGTTATTTGTTTGCGCTTAGAACCGTTGCACAGGAATCAGGCATTTCCGCACCTTCCCTATACCATTAGTCAAGATCCAATTATCAACCCTCCCCCCCTCAGTGCCACCATGCCCCCCCTGAGTTTGTTACCTTTTGAAATCTAATGTGTCGTTTTCGGTGCTATAAGCCCAGGTAAATTTCTCCTTTCCTGTCGAATCTCTTACAGCTTTACCCGTGTATCTAAGATTTTTGAAGATCAATTTTAGTGGTAGCGTAACTTCCAGTGAAGATGTCAATCGTCCCTCCTCTTCGCGTTTGTTTACCATTGCAGTAGCTAAGTTTCAACGCAACTAGATATCCCTGTCACCATGCTTCGCGTTCTTACTTCGAAATGGAATAGCCTCAGTCGAAGGGATAGCGTTACCAAACCCAACGAAAGGTTTGTTATCCAGTTCGATTCGAATGCAAGTCACCCTGGATCTTGGAATGCGCAATTTTTAGAATGGTTTTCTCATAATGGTCTCTATAAATTCTTCTCTCTCCTTTTGCACCCCTTTTCTTTTGCAAGCACCAAATGTGTAGAAAGGTTAGCATGTTGCCTCAATGTTTCTGTTCTGCTTTGCACCACCTATGCAATTGGCAGTTTATTCTATTCTGACGTACGCAAGTATGCGTATTTCCGTAACATGAGAGATTGTCTATTACATTTGTTACTCCTTTGCTCTAGCTGTCATTCCTGACCAAGTCGTTATTCCCTAGAAAAGTGTAGTTTTGTTATATTGGAGCTTGTTATTTAATGTATCAAATGCAAAGAGACTGATTCATTATTGGTTTTTCAATCAGAGTTATTTAAGTATCATCTCTTCAATATCTTAATTGAGCAACAGAGGTAGAAGGGAAAAAAGGTCGCAAGATTACCTATAGTTTCTGCTAAAATCTGGATGACTCAGAAAACAACCTAAGTTGTAGCTTTCTTTTTCTGGCAAGTTTTGAGTCTTTTTCTATGTACTTGTTTGAATTTTGTCGAATTCAGATAACATCCAAAAATTTTCTCAAGATGAGGGAAGAATGCATCACATTCAGTGTTGCCCAACCCTCTAATGCCACGGAGTCTAAAACAATGGCCTCCTCTGCGTTGCTTGTCAGAGATTCATCACTGTAAATTCTTAGTCGTGGATATCATCTGAAACACAATGCCTTTAATTGCTGAAAGCACCATGACCTGCAGCTTCTTGGGATACTTAGCCTACTTTAAGCTTGCTGAATATATCAGAACAAGCTCTGCTCTCTTTTGTCAGAAACAGTCGTTATAACAACAAGTAACATGGTGAATGTTGACAAAAAATCTGTTTCAATTTTGATTTTACAAAATTGAATTTTGTGGAACTGTGAAAGATTGAAATCTACCGCACAAGGTGTAAATTGCTGATGAAACCATCTCCTCCTCTTGCATCTTTGCCCTATGTGCCCCCTAGCTTGCTTTAGCCAATGATGCAATTCTGACTTTTTGTCCCAATTTTTTCATGCCTCAATAAGTCTCTTTTTTTACGTCTACCTGGTGTGGACTGGAATGTCTTGAAATAGTTTGTAGTTTTTAAGATTCCAGCTGCAGTTTATCACCCCCTCCTGTATGATTCCATACCTCCGTTGCAGTGTTTCTAAAGTACCGCCCTTATTTTATTTTTTGTAGAGAAGAAAGCATTAAAATCTATCTTGAATATGCTGCTAAACAAGTAATAGAGGAAAAATCAAGGCAGCTCTCAAGAAATTACGTTTACTAGGTTTCCAAAGAATTAATAGTTTTCCTTGTAAAATTTTGAAGATCGTTTTGCGTCATACCTCGGTTAGAGGTCCTTCTGCATGCTGCATTGGTCGATTTATCAGTATACTACTGTATTCGTCCTTATCGCATAGTTTCACCGCAGCTTTTACTCCTTTTCATCAAGATTCCCAACATTGATCCATGTGTCCTATGGTCTTATCTTTAATGAGGTGTGGTTCGGGTGTATAGTATCGTGTTTTACTGTTACAATTGGACCGCATTTTGCAATTTGGAACTATAAATTCTGGCCCGGTTTAAAAACAACATATGTGTCATTAGTTTCCCTATGCACACAAAAGTTTTCTTCGGATGAGCCAGAATTTATAGTTCCAAATTGCAAAATGCAGTCCGATTGTCATGTTTGAATAAGAATATTAAAAAGTTTTGTACATCGCATGGAGGTTAAGTGCACAATACCTGTACCGTTCTGAAACTTCTCCGCAATTTTACCCTGCTTTCTGGCTCTCCTGTCTGCACTTATTTTCACCTTATTAGGTTCGGCAACTTTAATGACTTTTAAGAGAGTGCAAACAAGCCTCCTAGAGCCTTTTTCCTCGATTTGAATCCCTAGAAGTGGCTCTTTTCTTCATAGTTAAGCGAATCAGCGCACTGAAGAAGAGAAAAATCTAACCATAAGTGTTCGCCAGAGTTTTTTAATCAATGGTCAGGGAAATTCTGGGCATTTATATTGATGGCCAAAGTGCTAAACCTTGTAGCTCCATTGCGGTGTCAAAATTCTAGCACCTATTTTATTTTTTTGAAGAGGAGCAAGTCAACTTTATAGCTTGAAATTTGTGCAGAATATTCCGCCAAAAGGGAAGAAAAATAATGGCGATTTTCAAGATGTTATGTTGAGCAGATTCCCCAAGACAAAATGAAAAGTGACAGGCGAAGTCTGCAACATCACAAATAGAAATATGTGGTTTTGCTCCTTAGTCATAGAATATTTTGAAGTCGGAGGAAAAGCAAAAGAAAGTCAGGGAATTCAAAAGTGAAGAAATCATTGATACCCGGTGTAATTGAATCAATCATATCTCCAAAAATTGCATTTTAGAGCCAATCTTTACAAATTTGGTGTGGCTTTTTCAATTATTCTGTGTATTTTTTCTTTCAATTGGATCAATTTTATAACCTGATTTTTTTTCCGATAGATCCGATTCCGAGGAAGCTCAGAATGAACCAGACACAGTACAATCTCAGACGCCTAGTGATTCAATTAATTCCTCCAGTCCATCGGATAAACGCCCAGTCAAGCAAGCCTCCACCTCCTCAGGCCCCAGATCTGCTCCCAAAACTCCAGATGGTGACATAGACTATGATGCACTTTACGAAGATGAAAATGAAAATGAAGGTAAGCAGTATCGATCAGAGTTGAAAACAATTGAAACAATTAAGAATTGCAGATAATGGAAAATCGTGAAACGCAGTTCGAGAACTTAACCCATTGACTTATGATTTAATTTGATGAAAATCAGTAACTTTGACTACTTCAAAATAATCCAGAAATTCTTTCTCTAAGGGTGAAAGTTGACACAATAAGCATTCACAATACAACGTTTGAGAAAAATGTGTTGGTGAAAACTTTGAACAAAATCATTTTTTTATTGTGGTTTATAGCTGTCAAAGTCGCAAAATCAGCGAAAATCAGAAAATTTTGAGACTATTTCATGTTCAAACGCACAGTAGTATGAAATTACCGCACTCAATAAGTCATTGAGTGGCCGCACTACTCATATAAACATTGATGAGAATGCAATCTACCGGAGAATCGCCGAAATAACGCAAACAATCAACGTGCGACTGGGAGCCGTCAGTTTAAGTCAATGGGTTAGGAAGAAAGATTTAAAAGCTGAAAGTAAGTGTAGGAAATCACCATTTCTATTGAAGAGCACCATTATTTAAATTAATGTATGAAAATTAATGTATTCTAGTAAAAAAAAATATTTTATAAACAAAAGTTCTTTTTTAGAGGTTTCAAAAAGGAATCAAAGCATAAAAACCAGAAACTTTAAAAGGTTGCATACTTTGATGAAAAATTTGAATACTTAAATTTAGCTTTTGCAACATCTTTGCAAGTATTTACTGTATTTATGTAATTTATGTAACTTTTTTTACTTTAAAAAGTTGATTGACCCTTCTTTTATCTCTGTTCACTCATGATTGTTTTCTGTCTATTGCAGTTTCGTTGGAGAATCATGGATCAGTCGTCACGCATCTCATATCTCAGGTCAAAATCGGAATGGACCTTACCAAAGTTGTGCTTCCTACGTTTATTTTAGAAAGGCGATCCCTTTTAGAAATGTATGCAGATTTTTTTGTCCACCCTGATCTAATTTTGAAGTAAGTCCCGTTTTCCTCCTATTTTTACATTATGTTCATCAAATTGTCAGGGATTCAAAGGAGATGACTATTTGAACTATTTTATTTTGGAAATCAACATTTTAGTTTAAAAAAAGTTTGATAAATATTGCTTTGCTTAATATTGAGAAGTGATCGTGCCAGTAGTGTAATTTTGCATGCGCAGTGAATGACTACCCAAGTTGTAAACTTATTTTGGTGCAGATGAAACCAGCCAGCATTTAGTTGTGCTGTACAAAACATTGAAAGACCAACACTAACATTTGCTGCACTGAGCAAATTGCTCAATGAATTATCCATAATTGACCATTAGATGGGTATAAATTGAAACATTGTGACATATTTTGCCTCTTCAAAATTTCACTCAGATCATGATAAGCGCAAGAAATATTACAGAAATTAACTTCAAACAAAGATTTTAACATTCTTATGCGGCACTGGTCAGAAAGAAATGTAATTTTTCATTCACATGACATCCCAGATTCTATGTGAATCATGTTGGGCTCTACAACATTTTTTGCAAGCTTCTTAATTGTGCAGTATCCCATCTGTATTGTTCAAAGGGTAAATAACGTGCATCAGTAGAGCCAAAGTACTGAGATGGAGGTTATTATATTTTTATACCGCAGAAATTGTCTGGGTTACATTTTGTATGTCTCAAGTAGATCCTAGTTTTTGTATGAACAGGAAGTTTGAATTTATGTATAAAAAAATTGATTCCTTAGTTTGGAGTTACTTTCAATACTTTTTGTTGCTTAAGTAAATCAAGCAAGAGTAAAAAGAAAACCTATTTCATAATGCTTATATTTGCACCTTATCATGCAATCCATTTTATTGACTATGAAAATAATGTTCATGTATCTTTTATAGGAGAGTTCTTTAAATATAACATTATGAATTTTTGTTTTGTTTTATAATTATTCCAGAACTGTTGAATTAACTTCACCCAAAGATCGAATGGTAGAAATTGTCAAGTGGTACCTTACCTCATATCACGCCAGCCGCAAAAGTGGTGTGGCCAAGAAACCTTACAATCCAATTCTAGGGGAGGTATTCAAGTGTCATTGGAACATTCCTGGTTTCTCTAGTACAACGGAAAAAGTCCCAGACGGACCTCTACCTGATGCTACAAAGGATCAGCTTATTTTCATAGCAGAACAAGTATCCCATCATCCGCCCAGTAAGTTTGTTATACAATTTTTATAAAAGTTTTTCTCAAAGAGAATAGATCGAAAAGATTCCAGCAGCTTCAGAACTTTTTGGAAGGGTCATCAGTATCACATTTCTGAATAGTCCTAAAATTCATCCGAAGATGTTCAGCATACTTAGCATACAAAATAAACTTTGTCAAGAAATACAATAAAACAGCTGTTCAAAAGTTTTAATGGACAATCTACTAGTAAGGCAATAGGGTAAGCACTATTTTTTAAATGTATCTATTTTTAAATGTCATAACCTCTTTCAGATTTTTTATTTATTTACCTTCACTTGGAATTTTGACTGAATGGTTTTAAATTCATTATCAGTTTGCGCCAAAGCCCTTTTATTTTTTTTCTCAATGTCCTCTGTGCGTTTCCGTAGGACCAATATTGTTGGCTTAGAAATAGAAGCTCAACGATCTATTGCTAGCAGGTGGGGCGGCTAGTCTCTCTGTTTCCTATTCATTTTTTCCTCTATTGAAACTTCTTAACATGGTTCTTCTGTCTCATCAGTTTCAGCATTTTATGGTGAACACTTCGAAAAAAGAGTCCAGTTCTGTGCACATGTATGGACTAAATCCAAATTCCTTGGTCTGTCGATCGGAGTACATAACGTGGGAGAAGGGAGACTGAAATTGTTGGACCACAACGAAGAGTACATTTGCACCTTTCCAAATGGCTACGGCAGGTAAGATCAACAGTCTGATGTTTCTATTCCCATGGGTTCTGTATATTAAAGAAAATAAAATGAAGTAATGATGTAATAAAAAAAACAAGAAGTAATATAATTAAGCACTTATTTTTTGTAATCAGTATTCTCTTTTGTATTCTCAGATCAGTTTTTTGGAAGCATTCACATTTTCCTGGAGGTTTGCAAAAAGCCAGAAAGCCTCCACTAACCCAAAGTCGACAAATATATCAGCACATTATAAATCTGTGAGCAGATATTAAGTGCTCTCCTCAGAAACAGAATATTTTCAAGGAAACTTTGAAGGTTTTCAAACTTTTGCTGATATCTTTAAAGATTGGTGCTTTTTAAGGGCAGTTTTGAAATATGACCGAAAGGAAGATTTAGATTTGATAAAAAAGGAAGTAAAACATAGTGGTTAGGGAAAAATGATGCTCTTTTCATGTCTTGAAAAGTGGACTCGGTCCATTCAGCCCATTTTAGACCCCATGGATTTCAATTGATCTCCCAACTTGCCCTCATCTTTTCAGCAAATTAAACCTGCCTGCACATTGATTTCAGGTCTATTTTAACTACGCCATGGATTGAGCTTGGTGGATCTGTTAGCATTGATTGCCCGCAGTCAGGCTACAAGTGTGCTGTAGAATTCCACACAAAGCCTTTCTACGGTGGGAAGAAACACCGAGTAACAGCGGATGTGTTTGCGCCCAACGACAAGAAACCCTTTTTATCAATTAATGGCGTTTGGAATGGATTAATGGAAGCCAAGTGGAACGACACTGTAAGCTCCTTTTAATAATTGTAGAATTTACGCAGCAATAGATTAAATATCAAAAAATAAAAATATTCGTAAAATAGATTTTAGAATATCACTGAATTGTAATATTTAGTAACTTGTACTCATACATGTCTTCGAACTGCAAAACTTGAAGAAATCAGAGCAGAGGTTAGGGAATAGCAGTGAATTTTTTTGTAGCCATCCGCAAATGGTATTTTGCTGTCAACAAAACTAGGGCGCATGAACTTTGAAGTTTCTTCCAAAATAGAAATTGTCTACCTGAGCCAGTGAGTAGCCAAACAACTGTGTGAAACCCCTCAAAAGAATAAGAACAATCGATTTGGATACTTTCTCAAAATTGAATTTTGTCTTGGTCTGTGCATAAAGCGAGGAAGGTGGAAAAAAATGTATCCAAAGCTTTATTTGGGGCCAGTCTTGTAGTAAAAGCGGAAATGATCTGAATAATCAGTTGTAAAAATTGTTTTTTCACTGTGTAATTTAGTTGAATCTTTTCATTGGTTCAATGTCCTTTCGTTGGGTTTTCAGGGTAAAGTTGAGCCTTTCGTCGACACCAGGAATTTAGAAATAATCAAAAAAGTTGTTGTGCCAATCAAAAACCAAGAGGAGAATGAATCCAGGCGTGTTTGGAAAGAAGTCACCCTAGGATTAAAGTAAGTCTCATCACTGTAAAGGAAATTCTTGAGTTTTATGTGAAGGGGAAAAAAAGAAAAATAAATGAGAATATAGAAGTACCTTGTCTAAATGGCTGATGAAAGTAAGGGTTTGTATTCACTCAAGGCAGTTTTTTTAGGAGTGACAACAGGGTGTCTACAAGTCTGGAAATAGTACTGATTTTTTAAGGGCGGTCCGGAAGTACTGAAAAAGTGCGGTAATTCTGCTTGACGGTCTAGAATTCTTCATTTTTGTCGCAATTTAAGGGAGAAATTCAAATTTTTGAAATTTTTTTAATTTCGTCAATTGAAGGTACTGAAAAAGTTCTAAATTTCTCTGTTGAATAGGTACTGAATTTCTTGGGAATGCACTGAATAAGCACTGTAAAAGTACTTATTTTTGACCAGCCTGTTTTAGTAGATACCCTGGACAAACACAAATTCTAAGTAGTAATATCAATATTTCAGCTTTGACTTTTTCAGTACCAAGGTCACTCTTCCTACGTGGACAGTCTTAAATAATTCCTTGTTGAAACATGGAATTTTTTAGGCGGTTAAAAATATTAAATGAAACTAGTATGTACTAAACATTCATGTCGTAAATGTTTTTTTGAAACTTCAATTAACTGATCCTTGAACTTCAATGGTTCTAGATATGACAATGTAGAAGCTGCATCTGCTGCTAAATATGAAATCGAGCAACGTCAACGAGATGAAGCCCTCACGAGAAAAAGACAAGAAGAATCTTGGCAGTCCAAAGTAAGTGTTCTCATATTTCTTTCGTTCGCTCGACTATCAAAAAAACTTTCAAAACGTTTATGTCTGTTGCATGGTAACGTAAAAATTCTGTCTCATTTTATTAAAAATTCAACCTCCCAATCAAATTTCATTTTTTTTTCTTGTAGCTTTGTTTATGAAATGGATTCATTGGAGTCTAATTGCACTTCACACCAAAAAAATTTTCTCATGTCATACTCTTTTTATCGAAAACTGAACTACTTTACGCCTTGAAATTCTATTGTGACATCATGTTACATTCTGAAGAATATTCTCACCAAATTTCTAGGTTTTAAGTGGTTCAGTTCTCTGTTTTACGATACAAAACATCAGAGGATATTAGCCGACGTCTGATGTAGCTATCCTGATTCAAGTCAAATCTGTTTTAATTATTTCAATTCTCTGCACCACTTCATGAGTGTTAGAATTGTTTTTAGGTTTTTTTTTTCTGCTATGTTTTTACAAAATCAAATGTAAAGAAATTTTTAAGTCACCTTTATTTGCTTTCTAGAATGGGTTTGATGTTTCAAACAACAAATTTTGCATGAAAATTATTTTAAATTATGTGCTTTTAACCATCAGCATAGCTTCAATTGTCAGGGAATTTTATCAAAATGTGTCATAGAAATCAGGAAAATGTATTTTTTAAAGTCCGTAGCCACCAAGATAATAGGGAAGTCTTTGCACAACGATATTTATCAATTTTTATTTTCTTTTTGCAGTGGTTCAAAGGTGAGGCTGGTGGTCAGTGGGAGTTCATCAATCCGTTAGAAAAAAGGATAAAGAAAGGCTCCTAACAATTAGCATGCGAGCCTAGTGAAGAATAATTCAGCAAACCTCAATGTCGGACACCGTAATTCGAAATGGAAACTTGTGACGACTCGCTAGAAAATTTGATCAAACCTGAATTATTATTTTGCCTTAAAAATACCATGGTTACCTATCGAATATCACGTTTTATGTTACAATTGCATAAGCATAAGTGTATCTAACTGTATCATTTTCTCGTGTTATAATTTGTGTATAGTTTTTAAAACAATCATTGTACTTTTGTATATTTTAAATTTTTGTTATCGAATCGAAATCCTGATCTTAAATCTTTGTGTCTTCGCGCCAGGTCCAAGGAGAAAAGAATTAGCTGAATAATTTTCATCGTTAAACTTATTTTTTAGTTGAGTTTCTGAAATTTTGAAATGGATGCAAAGGTGCTATTAAGAGATAAGAGGTCATCATTAAATGATACAAAGTAACTAGAACACATTCTAGCTAAACTGATCTCTTTTGGTTTTTAGCGCCTGTCGTAGATCCTGCATTCGAAAAAAGAAAGTCTGTAAAATTATTGATTTTCCTCGTAGTTTCTAGTGTTCTCAATAACTTCTACCTTTTTATTTTTTTTCTTAACCTTCGTTTTTTTTTTTAACTTCTATTTTTTCATAGATTTTTTTATTTTAAATGTGCTAAAATAAACTGAAAATGGGTAAATTATTGTGAGTTTCCTCTTGATCAATAACGACTGAGTGTGTCAGTAATATCACAGACTTTCTTTTCAATGTAATCGAATATTCAAGTAGGCAAATTATAGGATGGTTCTTTTTCTGGGGAACGGTTTTTATTCTTAGAAACACAAGCTCATGGAGTTAAGTTTCATTATTTTTGTTGAAAATTTTTTTGTACTTATGGATTTTTTCATTGACTCCAAGTTCTGGTGGTCACAAATCGCTTTGAAATTGTGTCAAATCCATTTGAAATTGTTATTGTTGACTGTTGAACGATTATGTCCTGAACGGGGACTAAAATGCAATGAGACACTGATTTGTTTTTGTTTCGGCGGATATTTTTTCTCTGGGAGAAAAGTTGTGGAAGGAGAATGCATCTAATTTAAAAGTACCAATCCAACTGACCATTTTAGAATTATATTATTTCAATTCTAACTCGTTTTCACGACAAGTGCATTGCATGTGAATCAATATAAGTTACTGTTTTTTGGAATATTAAACTGTAAATTCTTTCATTGGTTTGCACCTTTTTTTTCTTGGCCAAAAATTGCTCAGTAAAAAATATCTGTGATCTGTTACATACTTTTGACGTTAGCTGTTTTAAATCTCTCGACAGTTGAAACAGGGTGCAGGTTGAATGGACATACTAATTTATATACCTAATCCAATTTTCTCTCTTAATTTGACTACATAATGGCCAGAATAGTCATGTTTGTAAAAAGGACTGTGGACGTATTTTGAGGAAAATCTGGTTGATTGAACAGGAAATACAAATCAAACCAGAGTCCAAATGGTTTGAAGTTTGCAGTTTGAAGCACTTAGTTCTGAGAATTTTTTTCAATGTTTTCATCTGCCATGTTCAAAGCACACACATTTTACAAACGGATGCAGTCTTATACTTACTTTCAGCACATAAATGAACTAAATCTCTCACAATTCTGTCTCAGAGATACTAGCAATTATACCACATTTTGCAAGAAGGAACTACAATTTCCGGCTCACACAAAAGCACCTATCTAAACTGTTCTGATTCTAATGACTTTTTTGTCATTACTGAAATCAGTCAGAATTAATCCCCCTATCGCAAAATATAGTCAAATTGTTCTCATGTCAGTCACTTACCCAAACTCCGATCTTTCACCCAAGTCAGCAATAATTGATCTAATGAAAACTCGCATCTGTAGACTTAAGTAGGAGCATTCAAACGAACTCTTTTTGGTAAACTATCAGTACTGCTTCTTTTGAAATATCGATGCATTCTGTCAAGGTCTCTCTTGTCAGAAACGACTGCGCACCTGCAATTAAAATACTTATTTCAATAGATTCTCAATTTTTCTTGAGATGAATTATGGATTTTAACATTGGGATCTGACTGAGACTTGATGTTATTGTCCTGAATAATTGTAATGTGAGCAAAGGTCAAACCTTTGATGGATGATTTTTTGAAATTCCCCTCATATTTTCCTCCTAGAAAATTTTCTGAAGTACAATCCCTCTTTGTAGAATCTAACATAGCAACACATGATTTTTTTCGTTTGACTAAATATTTGCTTAATAAAACCGAACTTTACGAAGTACTTGGTTGGCAAGTGTAAATTGAATTTTCATATCAATGTTGAAATGTTTCAGCCAGTCTTTTGTATGGTTGGTGCCTTTTTTTTTCTTTTTTTAATAAGTACAGTGGACTCAGGATTATCTGTAACTATCGTAAGGATACCGCTTTACCTGGATTGTATTTCATTGTAAAGAAACAAACTCTTGCCCTGGAATATTAAGTCATTACAGTTTTCTCAGTTTTTTTTCTGTAATCATGTGATCAAGATATGTGTTCTAATGCAATAATTTGATTTCTAATGACCATATGATTAATTTTTGTTTCTATCCTAACCTGTAAGGCCTCAGTTAGTCTGGCCAATCCAAAATCCACTGTAATAAGAACCATGGACATCAGTTGTTTTGTCGATTTCCATTTTCAATTTTGAGCACAGACAATGGATGCCTTGCACACTTGAGAGCCACGTGGATAGACCTTTTAAGGGTAAATTGTCGCAAAAATCACAATAGTAATTTTTAAAAAGTCTGAAATCTACTCCTTAAGTGGTAATTTGCTGAACAGGAAAAACTCTTTTTAAAATTTCCAATGGAGGCAATGTCCAGTCACCTTATCTCGGAACAAGCAATGGCAATATTCGTTCAACAAAAACTGATGATTCAAAACATAATATTTATCGAAGTTATCTGCAGGTCAATAGGATAAAGAAATGGTGTGCGAGGGCATGGACCACCATTTAAGATCATACATTGCTTGTGAATAAAACTAACGAACAACAACCAGAAATTGGCAATTACCGGCAGCAACAAAGATAGCCTGAGATCGCCTTTGGCTTGTTTTCAGTGAATAGAAAGCTGCCCCCGGATGCAGGAAATTTGAAAAAAGGGTGCTCCAAACCAGGCAAATTGCGCACCAAGAAGTGTATTTCAGACTTTCTCTAAATAATTGTCGTGATTTTGGGGTCATTATATCTTTAAGAAGTTCATTCACACAGCTTTATCTTTTGTGTGAGACCTATTTTCTCTCTGGCTCTATCAGTCCATATGCTGAGGCATTCTGTTTTTATCTTGCCTACCTCAGTTTCTTTGCGTTTCAGAATTCACTACTTTCGAGTGATTTCGTTTAACATTTGCGTCCGTTCAGAAGAAGAACCCATAGCCAGCAACCCTTATCGTATGGTTTTTTTCAATGCGTCCTAGGATCTTTGAATTTTAAATCTTAGCCATTTTTTGTCTGTACTTTACTGCTGTGAAAAAAGCAAATTAGAGACAATTAGCTTTGCTTCTCCTAGATAATCTCATGTTGGAACACCAACGCCCTGTTGTTGACTTTTCAAAAGCAATACTTACTTACATCTTTACATTATCACTTAGAAACATGTATGTTATATTCTTATTTTTAATTAATTTAGAATTTTTCTTATGTACACAATGAGGAAAACAAATGAATGGAAAATGAGGAATAAACCGAATAAAAATCAGTCTTTTCAAGGGATTTTAATCGTCATTTTTCCCCCCCCAAAACATTATTTTTTTTAATTCGATATAGTGGCAATACTTGTGTATGATAGAAGTAGAACAATACAATGAAACTCAATCGCTGTGCGAAGGAAGAACGCCGTATGAGTCTTTAGACGTTGCCAACTTGTCTTTGATTAAATATGAATTTTCAGGGGGCCAGCAAATATTTTTCTTTGAATTTTCCAAAAAATTTTATTCGCCATCAGATTTATATTATCTGATATCTTTAGGAGAAAAAATTCATAGCTCTCTTCCAAAATGAAAGTTTTGTCTGTGGAAATATAGCAACTTTTGAAAGTTCATATGGCGTTTTTCCTCAGTACGGCAGTTAAGGCGTTTATATTTCATCTATTGTGTCCCAAAATTCACGAGATGAATTTTTTCAATAAACTACAAATTTTCACGTTTATTTCGTCAAATTTAACATGTTGATAAGTGCCTCTCTAAGTAAATTTTACGAGGAAACCAGTGGGGTCATTTTTGAGACCTTGACATCTTGTAATGACAAAATTATAACCTTTTAAAGTTTTCAAATTTTGTCCGAATTCTCCCATTGACTCGATCCACCGTGAAACGATTCGATTGCAAAATCGGATACTTTCGAGGCCGTCAAAATAGCATTTTAGGCAACTCCCGCCATCTTGGATTTTTTAATTTCGAAAATTTAACTGGACATTCGATTTTTCCGAGATAGGACGGAAACATTATTTTAATGATTCATTCAAGTCTATTATATCACTCTCGGGAACCACAAGCACAAAATTTCACGAAAAATAAGTATATGGAATATTTAAAAAAAAAATTCCATCAGTCAGTAAGGAGGGAAAAAGTCTTCATGGTGTGGATTTTCCTTTAGGAAAGGGATTTGAAATAACCTCATTTTTATTATAAATTAAAGCATGAAGATTATCAGGTATTTTCAATTTACATGAGAATATAAAAAAATGACATTTTTGGGCCCCTCTTCAGAGACGAGTGTCAATAAAGTTGAAATCTGTCCCAAAAAAACCTTATAAGACAATCTTCGCTGAAAGTTTAAACTTGAGTTCAAAGCTCATATTGGCAACAAAGCGTTGCATAGTTTAAATGAAGCGTGGCGCGCTGGTGCGAAAATATAAAAAGCTGAAATCCTCTAAAAATTCAAGAGAAAGGAAAGAATTGATTATTCATTTTGTTCATGCTAGGATGTCATCTTTCTCTGCTACACCGAGTCGTTATAGTGTGTCGATCGCTGTGATTCGAGTACTCCTTCCTGGACAAGAATCAACCCCTGTCGATTTCTCTCAATTTTGGACGGGGAAAAAATTTTTCGGACTAGCTTGGTTTCGGCTCGATCGGAGAACTTTTCATTTTGACCCTAAAAATTTAGTCCATGGTGCCCCTGTGGATTTTTCTCGATTTTGGAGGGGGAAAAAATGTCAAGATTAGTGTCGAATCCTACGTAGTTTGAGGCGTAGAATCGATTGCGCCCGGTCCCGAGACTCGCCGGAGCTCCCTAAGCCGAGAAACGGTCAAAAACGAGTGTTTCTGGCCCTGTTGCAAAAGTGCGTTTTTGTCGGTACCGCGGACTCGTGGAGCTTTTCCGACCAAAAAATCGGACTCGTAAAGTTATTTAGTTTGTAGTAGTTCTTTTGAAGGAAAAGAAACATATGTTTCATTCTGAAATATCAACTACACATTCTAGGCACAGCGAAGAAAAGCATTAAAAAAATTGAAAGGAAAAAATCTAGAATATTTTTTCCTGAGGAAAATAATTCCAGGGGAAAAAAAGAAATAATTTCCAGTAAAAGAAAGCTATCATATCAAATCTTGGATTTCATGTTTTTCAGTTTTCTTCACTATTATATGACTTTTTTCAACGGCTGCTACATTGGTTTAAGAGTCTATCAAAAGGGTGGAGGGTCCTGAGCGTGGGAACACACTGATGATCTTACTTGTCGATCGTGAAACTGCTGAAATTTTGCGTTTTCCGGTTTGCGACAATGCTAACTTCATTCAGTTCTTCTACTCCTGAGTTAAAGTCCCTGCGTCAGCCCTGACACAACCAAGATATCGCACGCCTTGAAAACCTCGATTCATGACGTCTTCCTCCGCGGTGGGTGACGTCAAAAAAAAAACCCGACTTTTCCAAAGGACGATGTCTCGATTGATATTCAACGTAGGAATTTGCTGTTTGGACAGCTCTTCTTATATTTATAGCTAATCTACATGGGTGAAGGGGGGTCTACAAGGTGAAGCCCTCGGCGCGGCGATCGGCATGTAACACATATCAGCGCCTACAAGACTGCACGAATACTTCACGCATTGCATCAAACACAGTACGGTCATTGCGGTCAGCGGGAAACGGATAGCGCCTACAGGAGTGCATGAATACTTCACGCATTGCGCCAAACGCAGTGCGGTCAGCGTGAAACGCATGGCGCCTACAAGACTGCGTGAACACTTCACGCATTGCGCCAAACACGGTGCGGTCTGCGCGGCGCGGCGGTGGAAGTTAAAATCATTAAACCACATTCACGTTTGTTCTTTCATAATTTTTTCGTTCATTTCTTATGAATGGAAGGCCGTGTCCACACAGAGATAGGTTTACAAAACTCAACTTTTTTTAGTAGTGTTGACAGGGCATCCCCAAAAAATGTCTTCAACACGAGTAAACGCGTATTATGCACCCCTCCCCCGCTGGCACGTTCACTTGATGGTTTTTATTGATGTTTCTATACGAATGAGAAGGGGGCGGCAAAATACAGGCGGCCCATGGGCGGCAAGTAGGTAAATACGGCCCTGCCCAGCACTAATGTTGTTTTCTCCGTGAGGATGGATTTGCAGACCCACGTCTTGAGATGCGAGCCAGTCCGACCCTGGTGATACGAACTAACAAAAACACTCGTTTTTTTGGCGCAGGAAGCTTCGGTGAGTCTCGGAATCATGTGTAATCGATTCTACCTTTCAAACTAGATAGGATTCAACGGTTCACGGGTTCTGCATGTGTCAGAACGGAACAATTATTACAAATGCATTACAAACGGAAGTGCACGTGACAATTTTTCAAAATTCATCAGAAAAATCACTTATTCAAGACACCTCCTTCCCCTCAGCGCGTAATTCATCCTAATTCGTGTAATGCGTAAGCCCTAATGACGGTTGATTACACTGCCATGCTGAGGAAAAAACACCGTATAGATATTCGAATGTTGCCAATTTTATCACGATGAAATATTTATGTTTGACCAAAAATGTGAAAATACTCCTTTCAAATATTCAGATACGACAGATTAAAGTGGGAGTAAATTTTTTTGAAAAATTGAACGCATTGAAATCACAGTTATATCCATGTGACATGAGCCCTGTCATGCACGTATTCTTATGGATCCCAGGGCTCGCTTAGGTGCAACGACTGGAAAAAAAAAACTTTTGAATTTCAAAAAGACAATTCTTAAAATAACTGATATAATGTTCGTTTTAGGAAACCATTTTTGGGTATTTTTCGAAGTAAAATTTAAGTAAAAAAGTGTTTAAAACAATTCTAAAAATATCAACTGTAGTTTCTCAACACTAAAATTGTTTTAAATAGTTTGCTGTAGTGTTGAATAGTTTTTTATCACTAAAATTGTTTGAAAAACATGTTAAAAAACTACCGTGATATTTTCAGAATTTGTTTAAACACTTCTTCACTTAAAATTAACCTCTTGTAAATTTTGCTTAAAAAGCACCCAAAAAGGGTTTCTTGATACGATCATTCCAACAGTTTTCTAAAGAGTTTTTAAAAAATGTTTTACACGGGTCATAATTGCTATCAGGCAATATCTGACAAGATCTTGTCAGAATTGATACAGGTCCTTTTATTTTAAATAATTCCATGTCCAATTGAAGGAAAAAGGTATCGAGATATTTCACATTTTATCAGGAGAAATTCAGCAACGTCTTAATGCTCATGTGACGTTTTAACCTAAGTGTAATAATAATAACAGTAAAGCGACCGTGGACGATCCAATTATTCTGTCCAATTTCCACAACTCCCGCCTCAAAATCCTTTCCTCAGAACCTGTGATTTTCCGATCATTCCCAGTGGTAGTGCTGTGCTTCTGCAGCGCAACACTACCCTCCCCGGAGAACCCTCCCTCAATCAAGATGGTGGTTAAATGTTGACGTCGTCGTGATCATGTGCAATTTTTTCGCGCGGTTTCGCGATTTTGAAAGCCTTTAACTGTTGCGTGGAACTTGGAGAGTAGACGGAAATAATGATCAAAAGTCATCTTGTTGTGATGTATGGACTGTCATTGCGTCTCGTCGTGTGATAAGATGGACGAGATATGATCCGAGAGGAGATTATTAACAGTGGCATTGTTGCGTCAATTTCTCTAAGTCATTTACAAAACCTTCGCGAAAATTCCGGTAACGGTGTTAAAACTGTGTGTAAATACGAATTAATTAATCCATTGAGAAATGTTATCTAGGTGTCAATTTCCTCTCATCTTTTTTCGTGTAAAAAATATGAAGTGAGTGAATTTTTGTTAATTTTTTTGCTATCAATTTTATCATCATTGCGACCGCAACAGATCAAATTCTTCTAATCGTGAGATAATCTGTGCGGATAATTGAGAATTGAAGTAATGGTTTGAATCTATGACATATTGATAGAGATTTAGAATGGATTTGTGCCTCGGTTGAAGTACCAAAGGTCTTTTGTATCCTGCCACCTCTTCGAATGATGCCTGCGGCGGACGGTTCTGCGCCCCGAACATCTTCAAAATGGTTCAGAACTGTAAGTGAAAAACTCTCACCTCCGTAAATGAAGGACATTGTCACTATAGCTTTGTGCTTTAAGGTGATTCGATGGACGCCATATTTTGTGTCAGAACGGCATGCGATGTATTGCATCAATTGGTTCCATTTTTTCAGCTACTCGTCATTTTTCTCTAATTTTGAGATCGCAATTCTGTTGTCAGGAGACTAAAGCACTCATTTACCAATTTTAACAAAGAAATTCAACGTAATTAAGGCGTGGTTTTTTTAGAGAGAAAATATCGCATTCGAGTGCAGTTTCGATATCAGTATCGAATGCGATGTTTTCTCTCTAAAAAAACCACGCATTTATTATGTTGAATTTCTTTGTTAAAATTGGTAAGTGAGTGCTTTAGTCTCCTGACAACAAAATTGCGATCTCAAAATTGGAGAAAAATGGCGACGAGTGGCTGAAAAAATGGAACCAATTGATGCGATATATTGCATGCCATTGTGACACAAAATATGGCGTCCATCAAATCACCTTAATTGATTTAGAGGAGAAGAAGGACATTACTATCTGGACAAAATGAGTGTTATTTCATAACGAAAACCATCTTATTCTATCGCGCAGATGTATTGTACATCGAAAAAGATTCCCCCCTTTTTTTACTAAAATTCAGGCGAATTTTTTTTAAATACCACAATAAAGTTATACCATTGAAGTTGCTCTCTCATATAGGATTAACTACCTACTCGTAAGTTTATGCGAGGAGCAGTCTACATTTTGGGAAAAATTTAGTTGCGGGCAGTTTTTAGCATAATGTTAAGCTTACCTAAAGGCAAATGTTTGCAAAGATCTTACTTTTTTCCCGGTTTGCTCTGTAATAGCTATCATTCCGACGGCGAATCATTGCAATCTCTTCCATGAATTAATTTCCTAAAAAATACTGTTGAATTTTATTGCGAGCCTCATGAGACTGGTCCTACGAACATTACTAATGCCTTGATGTAAGCCTCCTTAAAACTCCTTGAATCACATTGTGAACCGTATTGACGGTGTAGGTAATCCTTAAACAACACGTCGATGGCTAGAGTGCGAGACCACGTATCTCCGTTTGCGACAAGGTAGACTTTTAGTCATAATTTATTTTTTCCGTGGCAAACTACATATGCATAGTCAGCGTAATTTCTCGACATTTGTTTATTTTATTTTTCTTCTCTGTCAGTAGAATATCCTGCAACAATGGGCCTGTTGCAAACTTTTGCTAGAGCAAAAATAAGAGTTGTTTCTTGTAGATAATGCCTCAAAAATCACGATGAGCGCGTCGGCAAAGTCTGAAATGCACTCATAACTTCACAATCTGCGTAAGAAAATTGCGTTATTTTGAGCTTCCCGCTTCAAAAACGATACTACGGCAAAGGTGAACATTTTGTTAGAGGAGTCGCTCCATCGTCGGCGATATTCATCATGGCCGACGCTTGCGCAGTTCCTCGCGTAATTCGAGGAGAGTTCAAGGTCAATTAAGGCGGGCGAGGAAAATATGAACGTAAACACGCCGATTGTTATATGGTTTAATCCTGTTCAGGTGTTATCTCGTCCCATCACACGTGTTTTGGCGGACTGGCGTCGGCCATGATGAGTATTGCCGCCAATGGAACGACTCCTCTAACAAAATGTTCACCTGTACCGTAGTATCGTTTTCGAAGCGGGAAGCTCAAAAAACCGCAAATTTCTTACGCAGATTGTGAAGTTATGAGTGAATTTCAGACTTTGCCAATGCGCTCATCGTGATTTTTGAGGCATTATCTGTAGGAAACAACTCTTAGTTTTGCTCTAGCAAAAGTTTGCAACAGGCCCATTATTTTAATCCATAAAAATGATTTGTTCATTCCTCTCCGAAAGAATATGAAAAAAGGGGAGATTTTAAAACACCACAATTGGTACACGAAGTGCCGCACTTTAACCAACGATATCGATTTATTTACAGCATTGCAGTCTTTCTATCACACCTAGTTTTTTCATCATAAATTGTTTAATGTCGGTCCGAAAAAAAGTCCGTGATTCCTCCTCTCTAATTGTAAGTGAAGAATATCTTGAAAATTTCAAGTTATGATGTTGATTCATCACCATTAAAAGAATAAAATCGGAGAGAAGGTTTTGAAATCCATAGTCGAGATGCGCTTGGTCCATAATGCGCCTTCCGTCTCATTGCATATACAACAAGGACGATTGCAGGGCAGGGATTGTTGCGACTGAGCCCGGCGTTCCCCAAATGACTGTACACTCTGAAAATCTATAAATATTTAGTATATGAGGACTTGTATGTAACAAGGGCGGATGTGAAAAATTAACTTTTCGAAACACATTAAACAACTGTTTTGGCATCAAGAAAATTTTGAGAAAATACTCGAGATGTGATCTTCGAGATCTGTACATTATGCTAGAGCCAAACATATTAAATTTTTGTGTGAACAAAACCGTTTTTTAAGCGTGTTTCTAAAAGGTAATTTTTCACATCCGCCATTGTTACATATAAGGCCTCATATGTCCATATGTCAAAAGTACCCTTTGAATAATCATTCATCTTGTAACATTTTTTCTGATTTTTTTTTTTTTTTTTATATTACCTAGTTTTTGGCAGTTACGGGAGCCATTGGCATCGAGTTCATTGCAGGCACCATCGAAGCGCAATCAGCCGTTTTATTACCACAATTAGAGGGAAGCAAGGAGCTTCCAATAACGAAGGATCAGGCCTCATGGATAGGTGAGCATTTTATCATTTATAATTCTCGGTGTATAAATTACATTTAAGAATTTCCACGTATTTACTCATAGGCCACGAGGGCCGAGTTCATCAGAAACACACCAAATCGCATACAGTTTGACTCGGGAAAATGAGGTTTGCATATCTTCTTTGAAATGAGAAAAAGTATCTCGATATCCCTGGTAAAAACTGGCGATAGAAGCTGCGTTTCAAAATACCATAGGGGTCTTAAAGCCGACTATAGAAGGCTATTGAAAATCATATAGCTGGCTGTAGAAAGCGGAGCAAATCATATAGCCGGGCTATACGAAGCTATAAAAAAGTATACAGTCGGGCTATAGTTCCTATCGACGGGCTTTACACTTTATCGCCATTTGCTATAAAAGGCTATAAGAAATTGTGTAGAAATTTGTGTGCTTTGGAAATCATTAAGTTTGATACGGAACTACCTTAATATTTACAAAACACACATTTTATATTTTCCCTTAAAACATTTTTGTATTCATCAATTAAAATGAGAATAATCCATACAGAGTGTGCAAACATTTTATAATCATGAGTTGAAAAACGCTGACTCCGCGAGACTAAATATTAGAGCCTAACACAAAGCGGAGCGGCGACGCACTGGTGCCTACAAACCTAACAGGGATACCTCACGCATTGCGCAATGTGTGAAGTTCCCTGTTAGGTTTGAAGGCGCCAATGCGCGTTTCGCGCTCTCTGCCCGCCCGCCGCGCCGCAGCGTGCCACGGCGTCTGAAGCAACTATTTCACACCAGATGTATTGCACAGTATCATAAGAAATTGAAGGCGCTCCAACATATTAAGAATGACAGGCATCCTTCAAAAGTACGGAGCTTTCCTCGCAAAATAAATCAAGATACTACGCTACAAAAAGAGAGCGGTAGTCCAAAAACTAACTAAGTCCTAGTATCCGTATTTCGTAACGTTTAGCATAAACTTTATCGTCTGGCTGTTGCTTAATCGCCATCGGCTATAAAAGGCTAAAAGAAATTGTACAGCCGGCTACAGAAGCTATTGGAAATCTTACAGCCGGCTTTAGGTCTATGGTATTTTGGAACACAGATTCTACTGCCAATTTTACCAGGGAGGACTAAAAAGTATTTTGTTTTTTGTTTTTTTTTGTAACAGATAAACACAAATAAAAAGTAACAACGCTCAAGATGAGTATTCTGATCGAGAGTCAAACAATTTTGGAGCGCTCCTCTATCATCAAGAAATATGGAAAATACATGAACAAAATTTAGATAAAAATCAATAGCCTAAAATTGAATAGAAAAACATTGGACGCACTATTGTTAGTAACAGTGATGTTCCTCTTAATTTCGATTAATACCTTATGACTTTTAGTCTTGATAAAGCAGCGTTCCTTGATCCGCTGACCCTGCATTAAATACTCATTTTAGGCAAACTTTGTTAATTTTTAATTTATTCATCTGTTGTTTAGATGCAACCTCCAACTAAACCACCTTCATATAAATGTTGTAATATTTCTTTCTTCCGTATTACTAACCTGTAAACAGACATGTTTCATTCATGCGCTATGATGGATTATTCGAGAAACAGCAATAATTCAACATTAAAAATGGTTAAAAGACATAATGGACTCTACATCGCGTGCGTCTTATTACTCTTATTAGGAAGAGCAACCTTATTGGTGTCAATAAGTGGTCAATTGATATGCATATTGCATCTCTCGTCAGAAATTGAACTGTCCACACTTTACTCGCGTGATTCGAGCTGCTTAGATAGTGTAATTACTCACTTAGATGAGCTATCGGTTCAAGAACACCTTTAATCATCACTGGTGATCATGCGTGAGTCAAAAATTCAAATCAAGAACACGAGTCTGTTTTTTTTTTTTTTTTTTTTTTTTTTTCACATTTACCCTCTGTTTTTTTAAAAAATATTTTCTTCGAAGAAAATATCTCAGAATTACTTGCTAGGTCGAAAAGAGAAAAAAAGAGAGTGAAGAGAACAGTTAAGATCTCTCAGATGAGTGCCTGTCGTCAAATTGGGTCGAAAAGTCGGAATTACAGTTTTTAACGGAAAATTCTTGTTCCAGAGTCTTCTTCCACTCTCAGATTTTCACTTTTTTGTGATCTTCAATCAAAGAATATACACATTTTTTTCTTCATCATATTACAAAAATTAGAATAATCGGACGTATTTTTATCAAACGAAACTAAGCGCCATCGGGGGAGGAAGGGAGAGGGGGGTTTGGATTGGCGGGTGTTGCGGAACGCGATGCTCGTTCCGTCCTATACTCGCAATGCTTTCCCATAGCACTTAGTTCCGTTTGACAGAACGCGCTATCCGGGATTCTAAAGTCCTCAAAAGGAACTCAAATTGGTGCTTAGTTCCGTTAAAAAGAAGCACGACTAATTCTGTTTATTTCTGAGTTATAAAGCATGAAGTGTGTGATGTGCTTTCGTATCGATGGCCAACGTTCAAAACCGAAATCTTCGTTGCGGTGTTTCAGAATTCCCGCTCCAAAGAAAAAATAAAATATGACAGGAAGTCTACAACGTCGCAATCAGAAATGAATGGTTTTGCAATGGACCACTAGACAAGGTACGAATTAAAGGATTCTGATACATGTTTCTTAACCAAAATTTCACGTAAAACACGATTCGCGCAACGAAAATTACTGAAACCAACTCTTAGCGAAGATATTAACGTTCTTATTTCACATTGGTTACGAGGAATTTGAACTGCCGGCTCAGAAGAAACTCAAAGCTCCACGTGAGTCAAATTGCGCACTACAATGGTTTCAGCAAGCTTCTCAATCGAGCAATGTTCATTGTTCATTTCCCACCTTGTGTTGTTCAAACTATAAGCAATTTGCTACAGCTAAGCCAAAGCGTCAAGATTGAGGTTGCCAGCTTTTAATATCGCAGAGACTGTCATGATAAACGTTTAGCGCGCGATGTGAATCACGAAGAGCATTGCGTTTTCATGAGCGGGTGGTTTGCATTCACGCATCAAAAATCATTTAACATCTTCGTAAATATCTGATTTCGGTGATATTCGTCGTGCGCATCGTGTTCTACGTGAAATTTTCGTTAAGAAGCATGTATCAGAATGCTGAAATTCGTACCTAGTGGTTCATTTTGCCATGGATAAGATGCGAAAGTCCTAAATCGCTGGGGCCCTTACACGGAGAAAAAAAACTCGTGCGTGGGACCCGAAGTTTAGGTCATATGGATCTCTGAAGTTTTCAGATTGAGCATCTGAACACTTTAGGTCTGGCTGCCGAGGTTCGGATCATACATCTGAAACTTCAGTTCTTACATCTGAAGTACTTCAGATGTGAGAACTGAAGTACTTCGGATGTGAGAACCAAAGTACTTCAGATGTAAGAACTGAAGTTTCAGATGTGTGATCCGAACCTCGGCAGCTAGACCTAAAGTGTTCAGATGCTCAATCTGAAAACTTCAGAGATCCATATGACCTAAACTCCGGGTCCCACGCACGAGTTTTTTTTCTCCTTGTAAATATTTTTTCAATTTTTATTCTCATTTTCATCTCAGTTTTATCTGTTTTTCATCCCATTAAAAAATCTCAGTTACGTCTTTATGATTTCAGCAAGTATGGGAACTCTGCTGTGTCCCCTTACGTCTATTCTTTGCGGTCCGTTGATGGATATATTAGGACGACGATTGGTCTTTAAGATCTATTATTCAGTTTCTACGATTGGATATTTAATAATAGCGTTTGCCAAAGAAGTTTGGCATCTGTACATAGGTCGGCTATGCTTAGCTTTTTCACTCGGTGAGTCCTTTACGTCTTCATCAAACCACCTTAAGGTGATTCAATGGACGCCATATTTTGGGTCAGAACGGCATGCGATATAAAGCATCAATTGGCTTCATTTTTTCAGCTACTCGTCATTTTCCTCAAATTTTGAGATCGCAATTCTGTTGTCAGGAGACTAAAGCACTCACTTACCAATTTTAACACAGAAATTCAACATAATAAAGGCGTGGTTTTTTTTAGAGAGAAAACATCCCATTCGATACTGATATCGAAACTGCACTCGAATGCTATATTTTCTTTCTAAAAAAAACCACGCCTTTATTACGTTGAATTTCTTTGTTAAAATTGGTGAGTGAGTGTTTTAGTCTCCTGACAACAGAATTGCGATCTCAAAATTGGAGGAAAATGACGAGTAGCTGAAAAAATGGAACCATTTGATGGGATATATCGCATGCCGTTCTGACACAAAATATGGCGTCCATCGAATCACCTTAATACGTAATTAAAACTATGAAAATATGCATGGTAGAGGATCTATATAGGGAGAGTACGGACGTGCCGAAATGTGGAGCTGTTAGAGCTCAAATGGGCAGCCAACCTAACACAAAAAATGTCACTGCCATTCTGATTCCAATATCAAACGCAGTTGTCTTGTAGGTGCTAACATGCATTTTACGCCGACCGCACTGTTTGGCGCAATGCGAGAAGTATTCATGCGGTCTTGTAGGCGCTGATTGCGATTCATGCCAATCGCCGATCGCAATGTATTTGACGCAATGCGTGAAGAATTCATGCGGTCTTGTAGGCGCTGATTGCGATTCGTGCCGATCGCCGACCGCAATGTATTTGACGCAATGCGTGAAGTATTCATGCAGTCTTGTAGGCGGTAATATGCGATTCATGCCGACTGCCTCAGTGCCTCGCCGAGGGTTTCTCCTTCTCATCTCTAGTCCGATATGACATCGTGTTCGACGTCATGACCAAACAACTTGTTTGGTATGGTCATGTCAATAGGATGACGGAAGAGAGGCTGCCAAAAAAGATGCTTGATTGGGTTCCTCCTGGGAGGAGACGTAGGGGACGCCCAGTGAGAGGTTGGCGACAGGGGGTGTTAAATGAGATAAGAGATTGTCAACTCCCTGATGACCTGTGGGAAGACCGAGCTTTGTGGCGATTAGGCGTCGCACAGCGCCAAAGAGCGCTATAAAAGCGACTCATATATATCTCTAGTCCGTGACATCATTGCTCTCTTCGCCGCGGCGCGCCGCTTAAGGCCAGATTGATCATCAAGATGGCCAAGAATGTTCTTAAATAAGCGTTTTTCCGGAAAAAATTATACGTGCTATACAAACGACGGAACGTAACAATTGTAATAATACAATTTTCTGGATAATTGGAATTCATAGGCTGGCTGCTCTTTTAGGCTTTAAAATTACCGACCTGTTCGTTCTCTCTCTATATAGACACTCTAGTACATGGCAATTAACAATTGGGCTTAATTTTGCAATTAGGAACTTTAAATCCTGGCTCATCCGAAAAAACACGAATGTGCATAAGGAAACTAATGGCTCATACGTTGTTTTTATACTGAGTCTTTATTTATAGTTCCTAATTGCAAATGTAGTCTAATTGTTTGAATCCACGAGCAGCTCCCGAGTTGTCCCGCATTGGAACAATGAGTGTTTCAATGACGTAAGAATTCAGACGCACGAGCTCCGCTTGAAGCGCCTTCATGTCATCATGATACTTTCCGCTGTGCCATGCAGTTAGTTTAGTTACCTATTTGACACAGAACCAGGCAAGTGCACTGATTTCACCCCACGCCCCCATGCACAGGTATATGTACTGTACCAATGAATAAGAACCTAGTCCTTATCGATGGCGTGAGTCTGCAATCACATATCTCGTTTGCGGTGTCTGAAAATTTACGCCTCCATGTTATTTTTTTGAGGGAGAGGAGAGCAAATTGACATCATTCTTTGCAGTTTATGCAGAGCTGTCTTTGCACAGAAAAGAAAAATCCCGGCAGTTTTAAAAAATTGCGGTTGAGTATAGTTTTCCATTTAAAAACTGAAGTATGGCAGGTAGTCTGCGACGTCGCAAACCGAGTTATGTGATTGCCAACTTACACCGTCGTTATGTTCTGCATCTGTCCAATGGGCCAGTTGCGTTAGTCATAGAATTGTGTTTTGTTGCTTGATTATTGTACCTCAGCCAAAAATAATAGGATCCGTCCATGCAGCAACTTTCTACGTTTAATATCGACCGAGATATCGCCTTTCGAAAAGTCGGGTTTTTGACGACATCCGCCGCGGTAGTGACACCCTTGGTTTCTTCCACCTTGCTCTCATCCGGGTTTCGTGTTGAACAAGCAGTGCAAATGTGCGTCAAGCTGACTGAGGAAACCAAGGGCGTCACTACTGCGGGGGATGACGTCGAAAACCCGACTTTTTAAAGGGCGATATCTCGTTTAATATTGGACTTAGAAAGTTGCAGTTCGGGAAGATCTCATTACTTTCAGCTAATCTGCTAATCTACAAGAATAAAGCATCAAAACGCGACTCTGTGACCAGCGCAACTGACCCATCAGTAAATCGTGCGCCTTAATTCGATAGGTTATGCAAGAAACCCACCCAGACGTCTTAATGGAGATGTTGCATGTGTGAGGAATTTGCGATTTGACTGTTGATTCCTATGTGACAGTTCGCGAGAAACACGAAGGTGCCTCTGGTTTTCTCTGAAATCAACTCCCAAGCTCAAAAACAGCTTTCAAGTTGAGGCCAAAATGGAGGGGATATCCCACGCTATCCTAAGAGTCCACCTCTACATCAAGACAAACTCTCCATGCAAAGAAAGGGAGCAAATACATTATCAGGGTTGTCGTGTTATCAGTTTTGGAGTCCCCAGTTAAAGTGGCAGCCCTGTCAATGTATTTACTCCCTATCTTTGCAAGGAGAGTTTGTCTTGATGTAGAGGTGAACTCTCTGGATAGTGTGGGATATCCCCTCCATTTTGGACGGATATCCCTCCATCCCACTCCAAGGTTATGGTACGCTGCGGCACGGCGCGGTGTGCTGCCAGCTCAAAACGCGCACCGACGCCTACAAACCTAAGGGGATACTTCAAGCATTGCGCAATGCGTGAAGTAGCCCCTTAGCTTTGTAGGCGCCATTGCGCGTTTTGCGCCGAGTTTGTTTAGATGTATTGGTGGACTCTCAGGATAGCGTGGGATGTTCCCTCCATTTTGGCCTCAACTTGAGAGCTTCTTTGAGCTTGGGAGTTGATTTCAGGGAAAACTAGTGGCACCATTGTGTTTCTCGCGAACTTTTACGTAAGAATCAACAGTCAAATCGCAAATTTCTCACACATGCAACATCTCCACTGCATCTGATGCTTCGCGCACGAAAAGCGACTGATAGCCATGCTCTTGACGCAGGTTTCACGGTGGCCAACGTGATTTACCTGCCGGAGATCACGACGACGAGTCAGCGAAGCCTCGTGCTGGCGACGATCAACCCGCTGTTCTCGCTGGGCCTCCTGTTCAGCTACGTCGTCGGCGGGTACCTACGCTGGGACGTGGCCTCCCTCATCCACACGCTCATCTGCGGCCTGGGCCTCTTCTCCGTCCTCTTCCTCCCCGAGTCGCCGGCCTGGCTCGTCAAGGAGCAGCGCCCCGAGGAGGCCCGCAACGTCTTCCGCTGGCTCGGCCGAAATGCCGCCAAGATCGACGGGGACATCTCCCGACTCCAAACCACAGGTCGGTGGCGAAACCTTCAAGTTAGTTACGTATCTCGAATGGGAATGTTGAAATATTTGGGAGATACCAGCTACACAGAGGAAAATTTCAACATAAAAGAAATGGTTAATACGGGAAGTAAAACACAGAATAACCGTGGCCTTTGGTTGAAAAATTCAAGAGCAAACGCTGGAAAAAAAACACATTGGATCTAGAGTCCAGACTCTCGAAAACATTGACAAGAAAAAGGACTCTTGGTTCAATCAGATTTAAGCTTAAACCAAAAGGAAATCCGCTCAAATTAAGAGGCTTGGTTCTTGATTTAAGCTGAAGGTGATTCGATGGACGCAATATTTTATGTCAGAACGGCATGCGATGTATCGCACCAATTGGTTCCATTTTTTCAGCTACTCGTCATTTTTCTCCAATTTTGAGATCGCAATTCTGTTGTCAGGAGACTAAAGCACGCACTTACCAATTTTAACAAAGAAATTCAACGTAATAAAAGCGAGGTTTTTTCAGAGAGAAAATATCGCATTCGAGTGCAGTTTCGATATCAGTATCGAATGCAATGTTTTCTCTCTGAATAAACCACGCCATTATTACGTTGAATTTCTTTGTTAAAATTGGTAAGTGAGTGTTTTAGTCTCCTGATGACAACAGAATTGCGATCTCAAAATTGGAGAAAAATGACGAGTAGCTGAAAAAATGGAACCCATTGATGCGATATATCGCATGCCGTTTTAACACAAAATATGGCGTCCATCGAATCACCATAATACGGAAAGTAAAACACAGAATAAAGTCGTAACTTTGGATTGTTTCTCATGGAAGAGATGAATTAAGAACGGAAATTTTGAAACACTGCAATGGAGATACGTGGTTCCGCACTTCAGTCGGTGCGATATGGAGATCCACGAAGTTAAAAAAGTCGCATCAAGTCCCCGTCACCGCCGACCAACGCGTTTGTCGATCGAATCAACTACAGGTAGTATGAGCAGGGAGTCAAAACGCCTTTAATTTTTTGAACGCAATACGGACATCCGTCGAGGTTGTATAGTTGTATCAAGGCGCCGTAGCAAACGCGTCCCATTGTTTATCGTTACAGACGAATATAAGTTGAGAGAGGAAAGTCATAATGCCTTCAATTTTATACGTACATATTTTTGGGCAAAATGAGAGACGACGTTTCTCCATTTGCGACGTTGCGGACTTCCTTAGGAATTTTATTTTTCTTTCGAGAAGCTGGTCAACATAAAACTCAAATTCTCCATGATTTTTCGCATTCGATAGCAGAAGATTTGGTTCAAAATTTAAAGTCGTAAATTTGGATTGTTTCTCATGGAAGAGATGAATTAAGAACGGAAATTTTGAAACGCCGCAATGGAGATACGTGGTTTCGTACTTCAGTCGGTGCGATACGGAGATTCATCAAGTTTAAAAAGTCGCATCAAGTCCCCGTCACCGCCGACCAACGCGTTTGTCGATCGAATCAACTACAGGTAGTATGAGTAGGGAGTCAAAACGCCTTTAATTTTTTGAACGCAATACGGACATCCGTCGAGGTTGCATAGTTGTATCAAGGCGCCGTAGCAAACGCGTCCCATTGTTTATCGTTACAGACGAATATAAGTTGAGAGAGGAAAGTCATAATGCCTTCAATTTTATACGTACATATTTTTGGGCAAAATGAGAGACGACGTTTCTCCATTTGCAACGTTGCGGACTTCCTTAGAAATTTTATTTTTCTTTCGAGAAGCTGGTCAACATAAAACTTAAATCCTCCATGATTTTTCGCACTCGATAGCAGAAGATTTGGTTCAAAATTTAAAGTCGTTTTCATTTTTTTCGAAACGTAACACCAGAAAATGGGAAACCGAGGCTGAAAACAAACAGAATGCCTGGGACGTTTCGGAGTGATTTCAACCCTCTCCAAAAAAATTTAAAAAACAAAAACCTCTCAGACCCCCAAACACGATAACAAGGAAGTCTTTGTTGCTATGAAACATGATAGTATGAGGTGTTTTCTTATTTTTGGCCTTTATTTTTTTTTATTTTTTACATTTTTGTCCTCTGGTCGAGAAGGGGGTCAATTCCACCCCCGAAACGTCCCAGGCATTCGGTTTGTTATTAACCTTGGTTTCTCTTTTTCTTGGGTTTTGCTTCGTTAAATTAGGCAAACTTTCCTTCTAAGAAGGTTCTGGATCCTGCCCACCCCCTGCAGAAAACGTAGAGGACGCACTGCCAAATCGTGGATTGAGGGAGTAAGGCAGGAAATGAGAAGATGCGATCTGCCGGAGGAGCTATGGCAGGATTGCTATCAGAGGTGGTTGTGTGTAACAGAGCGCACAGAAGCGCTATAAGAGTGACTTGTTACTTAGTTGTTAGTAGAGTCCCTTTATACCCAGAGTTACGACAACTCACTTTTGGTTGGGCCAGGATTGGGCTGAAAGTGGCCTAAAAAAAAATCCAATTCTGATTGGTTCTCGCTCATGGAGGCCGAAACTAGTGCACCAAGATGGCGGTACCTCGAATGTGAACAAGAATAATGAAAATATTACCTAATTGTGGTTTATCAAGAGTAAATTGTTATTGCCATAGGTCCAAAATGAAAATAGATTAAGAAATTATTCACAAACCAATCTCATTTTCTTTTTAATTGATCACTTTGTTGATGTTGTTGTTTTTGTGTGACAGACATCGCAGGATTCCTGATCCTTATCCCTCAATATCGTTCGTTTGGGTGCACTAGTTTCGGCCTCCATGGCCAGCCAAGGTCGGCTGCCAGTCAGCTGATAATCGAGTTGTCGTTACTCTGGGTATAAAGGGACTCTAGTTGTTAGTAGTAGTGGAAAAACACTAAAAAATGGCCCGAACTTTATTTATCAAGGTAATGAAATGGTGCTGGGTCCACACCATTTCGCGGAGAAAACAAAGTCAGAAAGTTTCAAAAATTTCAATTAACGACAAAAAATTTGAGCTGTAATGAGTACAAGCCCAAGACTCTCCCCCTAAGTCCTGTACTGGTACTCATTAGAGCTCAAAATTTTTGACTCGAATCAGGGCCGGATTTAGGGGTTGGCCACATGGACCGCGGCCCATGGCGGCAAAATGTAGGGGGCGGCAAATTTTTGCAATCTTTTTGAATGTAGGTATCAAAATATGAGAGAAAACAATCGGATTCAGAAAATAAATTACAAACTAGAAAAGGCGACAAAATCTCTCATTTCCTGAGAGTAAAAGTATAGTAATTTCGAATTTCTTCGTCTTTCGGTGATACAAGAGACAACACCTTTAAAAAGTCCAGTTAAGAGAGAAACCAAACACGCAATTCGACCTGGAACGGAGCGGCGCGCGGCGCGGCGGTCGGCATGAAACGCACTGCGCCTACAAGACTACATGAATACTTCACGCATTGTGCCAAACAGTGTGGTCAGCAGCGGTCGGCGTGAAACGCATTGCGCCTGCACGACTGCATGAATACCTCACGCATTGCGCCTGCACGACTGCATGAGTACCTCACGCATTGCGCCAACACAGTGCGGTCGGCGCGGCGGCGGAAGTTAAAATTTATGATTAAACCACATTTATGTTTGTTCTTTCATAATTTGTTGGTTCATTTCTTTTAAATGGAGGACCTTGTCCACACAGAGATAGGTTTACGGAACTTAACTTTTGGGCAAAGATTCGTGAAATTTTGCTAGTAGTGTTGACAGGGCTTTCGCAAAATATGTATTCAACACGAGTAGGTAAACGCGTCTTATGCATCCCTCCCCCTCCGGCAGGCTCACTTGATGGGTTTTATTGATGTTTCAAAACGAATGAGAAGGGGGCGGCAAAACACAAGCGGCCCATGGGTGGCAAGTAGGTAAATTCGGTCCTCCAATTGAAATTTTTTGAACTTTCTGGCTTTGTCTTCCCCGCGAAATGGCGTTGATCCAGTACCATTTCACCGCCCTGTTCGTTAAATTATTTGGTTTCTTTTCTTGGTCTGTGTGTCATTTTACTTTTTCCCGTATCGAACAACAGGAAACGGACCGGTGAAGCGCTCGATCCCGCTGAAGCAACTGCGCCACGCCACGGTCTGGAAACCCTTCCTCATCCTCATCACGTTCCACTTCCTGCAGACGATGACCGGCATCTACAACATCATGTTCTACACGGTCGAGTTCTTCCGGGACCTGGGCACCGCCTTCGACCCCGTCCTGGTGACGATCGGCTTCGCCTTCTCGCGCTTCGTTGTCTGTGTCACCGTGGGCTACTACTTCACTACCAAGTGCCCGCGGCGGGTGGCCACGGCCGTGTCGGGCTTTGGGTCCGGCGCCGCGTATCTCGTCGCCGTCGCCTACGAGGTCTGGTGGAAGGGTGACCGGCGCTTCCAGTGGGTCCCGGTCGCCGCGGTTCTCGTGTCGTGTGTCTTCTCCACGGCCGGGGTCCAGGCTCTCCCGTGGATTATGACCGGCGAGGTGAGTTAACATGTCATCATACCGTCATTTGGACGTATTTCTATCAAACAGACCTATGTGCAATTGAGAAATATAGGGTGTGCTCGTTAGTTCTCTTGCCGTAAGAGTGAATGAGAATAATAAAGCGCCAGTGACGTCAGCGGCAACGAAAGAGGACCGCGCGAGGGCGAGATCGTTGTCGGGGCGCTTTAACTCATGAGCCCTGTCCACAACGCTCTCTTGCCATGCCCGCGGCTCATATATCCTGCATTCAGTTGGCACATAGGTCTGTTTGATAGAATGTAATATCCCACTTTTCCAATTCTTCAAAAGGAATCACGCCCACTTTTACATTGCTTCTTATGGAGCTTTGACGAGCACAGAGCACACCCCATATTTCTCACCTCCACATAGGTCTGTTTGGTAGAAATACGTCCATTTTATAATCAACAATGGACCCAGGCCCGCCACATCCCATCTCGGGCCCTGGTACCTGTTTTCTTCAGTTCTTACGTCTGAAGTACTTCAGATGTGAGAACCGAAGTTTTTCGGATGTGAAAACCGAAGTACTTCAGATGTAAGAACTGAAGTTTCAGATGTGTGGTTCAAACCTCGACAGCTAGATCTAAAGTGTTCAGATGCTCAATCCGATAACTTCAGAGATCCATATGACCTAAACTTCGGGTCCTACGCCCGAAGTTTTTTTGGAATTCGGCAAACTGCCACCCGTTTCCTAAAATTACGGATAACTGCCACCCGAGTAAATTTGACAACTGCCACCCGTCATGAAAACTGCCACCCTTGTAAATATGACAACTGCCACCGAACTGACGCGTCTCGCGGCCGCGCGGTGCGGGATTGCAAACATAGAACCAAAACTTCCCTTCAGACTTAAAGAGGCTGAGGACTATCTGTTGAAAAGCTTTCTAGATAAAAATCATTTCTAGAAAATCAAATAAGAAATGAGTGATCATTTTCAACAGGCGTGTTTAAAAGTTTTGGTGTGAGTAAAACCTCGTCAAAGTTCAAAATTTTAAAATCGTAAAGAAACATAATCTCCCCTTTTTTATTTAAAGTTTTTGAAATTGAAAACAAGCAATTTTTCACATGTCACTGTCAGTTTTTCTAGAATTAGTTTTACGTTTAGAAGTAGTTTTACGTTTAGAATTAGTTTTACGTTTAGAATCAGTTTTACGCTTGGAAGTTTTTTTTACCTTTAGAAGTTTTTTTCTTTGTTTTATTTTTTTTTTACTCTCATCAGTTTTCCTATTTTTTACTGAATTTGAAAGAAATTCTTTTTATAAAATCGTAAAGATTCATAATCTGCTGTGGCCGAAATTCATGCCGGTGGCACTTGTCCGCACGGGAGGCAGTTGTCAAATTTACACGGGTGGCAGTTTTCATGGCATTTTCCCTAAATTTCCGACCCGGGTGGCAATTTGCCATCACCCGTTTTTTTCTCCGTGCTCAAAATAGCAAAAACTGCACTTCTGCGTCTTGTCCTCCAAGCCCCTCAATTGGACTACATTTTGCAATTCGGAACTACAATTTCAAG